ATGTACCGAGCTCGCTTTCTGCCGACTTACACTGGGTAACAGAGATCCTATCAGTATCCCCACGCGAAAGACCTCTACGCACCCAACACCCAATCGACCCCCAGTGGTGGGGCGATGCGAGCACATCTTTCGGAGTAGGCATCGTGATCGGCCAGCATTGGGCAGCATGGAAATGGAAAGAGGGTTTCAAGGTGGGCCCAGGCTGCGAACACGACATTGGCTGGGCCGAAGCTACCGCAGTAGAGCTAGGTTTGAGGTTAGCCCTCCATCTTGGGCTATCCGAACGAGCAGATGTGAAAGGCCAATCCATCCTAGTCCGTTCGGACAATGCTGGAGTAGTCATGGCAATAAACAAAGGCCGCTCACGCAATCAGCCAACAAACATCATCCTCAAGGAAATCTATTTGCTACAGGTAATATCAACGAGCATGGATTTCAAGCTTACTTATCTTGATATAGGCGCACCATGGGATACATCTCAAAGTCGAGCACGTACCTGGTCAAATCAACATCTCAGATCCACTCTCGCGAGGCGACATTCAAACCTTTCTAGGCAATTCTTCTGGCCCATCATTCAAGACCGATTTTCCACTCCCGTCGCATCTCAGCGACAAAATGTCATTTGTTACAGTCTGACCTCCTCGTCAATTGAAACCACACCCCCCACACCCCAGAATTTATTATCCCTTCGAGAATCTCCCCTCCGCCCCCCCTGTGCAGCTGAGGAACGTATTTTTCATTGGCGTGGCATCAACACCCCTCCACCGTCAACGATAGACCACCCAGTCATACAGTTCCTCGCCAACATCTCCAACCAAGCATCGCTACGAGAAACGACTAGCTATGGCTCGGGTTTAAGAAAATTTCACATTTTTTGCGACATATTCTCCATCCCAGAAGCTGACCGTCTGCCAGCATCTTTCGAACTGCTGCACTCATTTGCCCTTTGGGCCGTTTCCGATCCTTCCGCAACAAAACATTTTCTAGAGTCTGCGACAACCGAAACAGTACCCTTTGAGCCAGTTTCCGTATCAGTCGCGAGAAAATACCTCTCTGCAATCCGCGCCTGGCATTTGGCACAAGGATGGCCACCTCCGCTATCACCAGAACACTTCACGCGGATCAACTGGTCACTTCGCGGAATGGAGAACCTGCAAGGAACTCGCTGTAGACCTATCCGACCCCCAATCACACTCCATATGCTAGCTGCCATCAAGGCCACCCTACGAATAGATCAACCATTTGACGCGTGCATATGGGCAATGTCCAGCTGTGCCTTCTTTGGGATGATGCGGTTCGGGGAAGTCGCAGTCAACACTCGCGCAAGTTTCGACAAGTCAAAACACATCACGCGAAAAGATGTTCACCTCGGATTCGATCTGACTGGGAAACCTTATGCCAGACTTGATCTCCCACAAGCCAAGACAGCAAAATCGGGAGAGCCTCAATCCGTTTTCATTGTAGAACAAGGAGATCTCTGCCCAATTCAGGCATTGCGAAACTTAGCAGAAGTAGTCCCAGCGCTACCAGACGACCCATTATTCTCGTGGAGGGACAACAAAGGAGTCATTCGCCCAATGGTCAAGACTCGCGCCATCGAAAGCATCAACAGCATATTAACCGCCTGGAACTGGGGAACAACGTTTGGACATTCATTTAGAATCGGCGGCGCCTCATTCTACCTCGCTAACAAAGTAGACCCAGAAATAGTGCGCATAGCGGGTCGATGGAAATCCCTAGCGTATGAGACTTACATCAGGGCATTCGAGCAAGTCGCAACGCAACACCTCGGCGGCCTGGCAAATATCCACACAAACCATTAATAAGCTAGATCGCTCTGTTGGGTTGGCCGCTGAGATCAGCCGCAGTTGGAGCTCACCAGCAGTGGGTAAGCGGCTCAATCCTTCAGCGTCCAGCCCGAGCTAACACTCGGACTCAGCCCAACCTCACAGGAGCCTTCGCGTCAGATCGTTTTCGTCAGTACAACAGTCGAAGTTGGAATGACAAGGTGCCGATTCGGAGCTTGCCGGAGAGTCAGCACCACGCGTCCAACTGAGCGTGACACTTGGTCTTTCTACCTTCTCGTTACTATTCGAATCGTAGTATCTGCGTATCAGAATATCTATTACTATCCTCTCGTTTACTCGCCCCTCACATTCATAATACCATACCATACGTTAGTTCGTTCCACCCCACCCACCGCTACATCCATTGATTCTTTCGCACCATCAATTCATCTTATTCATCTATCCATCGTTCTTCCGCAAGGCTCCACACAAATCGCTGTTCGTTTGCCCGCCCACCCAGCAGCTCAATCCTTCAGCGTCCAGCCCGAGCTAACACTCGGACTCAGCCCAACCTCACAGGAGCCTTCGCGTCAGATCGTTTTCGTCAGTACAACAGTCGAAGTTGGACGCGCTTGACCGCATTTGGATGCAAAGTGGGCTCAGGTATTTTGCCGCACCACTAACGCATCATTACTGCCGCACCCGCACCAAATCAACACATCTCACTCTTAGTTTCGATAATCACTGTTGACGTGCACAATATAATTGGTTTACCGTCAAACTCATCAATTATGCGCCTCACGGTCATGCCTTTGAGAGTCTGAATCCCGAGAACAAGTTGAGTACTATGCTGCGGCAAGGATGCGGTAGTGGGTGTGGTGGCTTCTTGACGGTCAGTCTTGATATCATTACTGTATGTACTGCATGAGACATTGACATTCAGACTGTCACTAGATCACCCTCCTTGCAACGGCCTGTCTCGCTTATGCGCCCTCTGGCTACTACTGGCACGTAGTACTCATTGCATGAGACACAATGCGGCACGCACCATACTCTATCGCACAGCCACCAATAACAATGTTCTTTCTTTGCAGATGCTAACATATTTTTGCATGAATGCTGTTCAAGTTGTTGGCATGATACTGGTGTGATACCTGGCTTGACCTCCAACTAAGTTGTGATCCGTCCTTGATGGATATAGACGTCGACTTGGAGTGTCTTGGTATACTAGAACAACGAATGTTTGAGCTCTCATTGGCTGCAGGCGCTGCAGGGAATGAACAATGGGTAAAAGATGCCGATGCTCACCAAGACCGATAGAATCCATACGAGGGCCTCCTGAGTACTGGAATCATGGTGACCGAGATCTATATCGTGAGGTGCTGCAAGTGTACTGCATAAGATGGGTGCGTTGGTGTGGGTGCGGTAGTGCGGTAGTGCGGTAGCCTGCCAGCATCACTGCCGCATCACTACCTGCACCCATCAAGTATACTATCACTGTTGTATCAGTGTAATTCTAACTCAAAAACATATACTACAATATTTTTGCAGTCAATAATCATATTCATGGCCTTTATGGACGACATAGACATATTATACAGGGATATAAGACACTATTAAGTAGGGTGCGGCACCGATGCGGCAGGATGCGGTACGATGCGGCAAAATCCCAAGGCCCATGCAAAGTCCTTGAGGAACTCAATTTCAGCCGGTACGATCCTGGAATCTGCCTTTGAAACCCTCCCAGTGACACATCTACCTCCACCCTCCACTAACCTCCTCTGCTCTACTCCACACCTCGTTCCTGCATAAGGTGTCCCAATACACTGGTTCCGCTCCCACTAGTGGTATCGCGATTATCATGAGCACTCCTGCTAGTAATGATGACAGTGGGGCGCGGCCGGTATCACCAACTATTGCTCATATGCCGAGATCACGGTGCGTTATTTTTGGCAATATTTGTAAATCAAAACAGCTGACCTTCTGATAGACGAATCTCTATGAATCGAACTTGAAGTGGAGGTCCTTCTATACAATGTGTGCCGTACACTATTCACCAAATACCATCCCGGATTATGAACTACTGCTATGAACCAGTTTGTATCAAGCTGTGAACATCATCGGCATCACCGCAATGACGAGTTTCAACTGCACAGATTGGGTATATTGTGCGCATCAGATGACTTCTACGCTTACTACTTTGGCATCCTAATTATAGCATCCTAGACCGAAGATCGCGGCAGAGCCTAGCTTGGAGGTGCGCAATACGATAGACAACGACTCAAAAGACGAGGACTCATCATCGAAGAGCAAGGATATTCGACATTCAGGGTTCTCTCGGAGTGATGCGTTGGCAGCTCGGATGGGACTTGATTTATTTGCTTGCTTCATCTAGGTTTCTCGGATTTTTCATGATTGATTATCATTATGCCGACAGCATGTGAAAGAGCTGATTTACTTTGGGCAATCAAGGCAGTAGCACGTATCAGCCTGTGAGTCTTCTTTCGGTCAAACAAGCGCTCGATGGTACTATATCTATTCGCCATCGCCGTACGCCCACCGAGTGTGTCGCTTTCTTACACCCAGTCTACAGCAGCATGACCCTAATATCAAATGATCCCAGTTGGTGGCCGTCCATCAATGCCAGTCGCATTGCCGGTTATTTTGCAGGTTCGTGGAGATCCAGTTTGATCATAGATGGAAATGTTGATGCGTTAATATAATATTGGTCGCGGTTTCACAGTTGCCTCCTGTACTGTGTTGATGTATGATTGGGGTGAGGAATATAGTATTACAAAACCACCGATATCCTTATGAAGGTTCTAGCACTGATATTCGGACAAGAGGTAGGTCGGTTCCATCAGTATCAGAGTGGCTAGCTTGCTAAGAATGGTTTTGTAGGTCGAACTAATCTGGGTGAGTCTCACATCAAAAGAACAATATAAAAATTTAATTATTTCGCAACAGAGGCAACGCTGGTCTTTGATGACTTTTCTGTATCTCTCTGTGCGTAACTCGCATTATAAGCGTAACCGCCAGCTGACTCGAAAATATCCTAGGTCCGCTATGGTGGAATGATTCATGCTGCATACGTTTGGAAGGCTAAAAGAAAATGCTGTCGTACTAATCGATTGTCTCACGATCAGTCTCAACGTACTTAGTATGTCTCCTCACATTCACCATGTTTTTCTTCTTACTGGCGCCATACAGTGAATATTCCGATCTTGGTGACCGATGCAGTGAGCATTCTGTCCTGATATATGCCATTTCCGTTTAGCTAACTGTATCCCCATGTAGGGGTGAGTGAGATTCTTGACTAGCTTTTTGGTTCAAACATAATTACTGCCGCAGTTGTGAGTCTGTTACAAGTACCTGATCACCCGAGGTCAAGCGCTCACTTGGTTTTTTTAGGCCAGATTATATATATTGCACTAAATTGGATAGGTGTGGTCTTGATTGGAATGCTGAGCGGTGAGATGTGCAGTAATACCTCAGTGATACCGACTTAGCTCAAACATTATCCTAGTCATCATCATCGCTCGGTTGCACGCCATGTATCAGCATTCCAGCAAGGTACTGATAGCTCTCCTTATTGCCGTTCTGACTGTTGCTGTTTTCAATATAGTGGTAATCGCAATAACAATGAAGCATTTTTCAGGGGGTAAGTTTACTTATGAATGACAGATTTTCAAAGTGTATCCGGCTCATTGATGATTTCCAGAGGAGCTTGTTCTCTCCAGAACCTATCGGTGCGCTGTTGAATTGGAGGAAAATGTGATCTTTCTTGGTTCCATATCTTGGATACTCGGCATTGCATGGGAGATCCTCACACTGTGTCTTGCCGTCCGGATTGCTGTAAAACACTTCCGTGAACTACAAAGATATTCAGCAGGACGGATTATAAAGGACTGTTTTACGGTATTGTTGAAAACTCACGTGGGTTACTTTGCGAGGTGAGTTCATTACATGAACGTGATCATCTTTTCTTACTGAAGTTCTGCATGTGTTAGCATGCTTCCTGGTGCTTGCATGAAGGTCGGTTACATGTCGCCAATTATCTCAGCGGTATGTCGGTTTATCCCTGATCTCTGCATGTGACCACTTTTCATCATTCCTATAGGACAAATATTCCTCGAAAACTCAGATTTATCTTGGTTTTATTCAAATTTTCACGTCTGCCCAGATGTTTGTGTTGGGACCACGCCTGATCCTCAGTGTTCGAGAATATTATACTGAGCTCATAGCCGATTCAGATGCAGATGCTAGCGTGAATTCAATATCTTTCCGGGAGCGTGTGTATGTATCAACTAGTACTAGCGGTGGTGTGTAGCACGAGAGATATCTGATACTTGTTTTACTCGTGGGGTAGATGATTTTAGAGCTGGCTCACTACAGAAACAATTGCGTGCTGTGATGTAGCACATGATACAAACACAAAGTGTGATAAGTAGTTCTGGGTATCACTGCGAGGGAAACATCTCTTTGGGCATTTAGTTCATTCTTCATCAAGAGCTGAGGGAGACATAAGTGAGGGTCGTAGTATGAGGCACACAGAAGACTTGCCAGGAACCCAAGCACGGAAGATGGCCTTCGTGGGTTCATCACTCATGTCCATCATGTATCGATACGCTTCGAGGGTAGCTCCAACTTTACCTGCCCGAACGAGTGCATGACAACGTTGTTGGTTTGCGGTTTGCCACAAGGATTTGAGGTCCCAGCCGAAAAGCTGCACAAGCAGGCAGTTGAGCATGAATCAGATTGTCACATCATATCAACGTACCACAACAAAGTCCTCGTATATAGAACTGACGTCCAACTTGGAAAAGAAAGCGCCAGCGTTGACTGCGGCAGTAAAGTGGTCAGCAGCATCTCTGTAAAGAGCGCCATCCATGGCAGTGGTCCCAAGCTGGACTCGCATATACGCCTAGTACGCGAAGCGCAGGAATGTCAATGAGTGAGCACACAAACATAGTATTGATGGAATGTATCATACTCACTTCCACGACATGACAAGCGAGAGGATCAGCATTAGGACGAACGGCTAGCTCTTGGACGGGAAGCACAGTCTGTTCACAGGGTTTGGCATTGAACAACACGATGGCCTGAAAAACCATGATGAAATGTAGAGTATGATTCGAAAATCACTCACCTTGATCAAGAAAAGGAAATGAGTTGTCTTTGAATCTGCGTTGGTGAACGTGAACGCGAGGTCAAATGCTGCCATCGCGTCGTGCACCTGCTGCTTTCCGCAGAGTGCGAGGCCCATGGAAATATATCCGATCAAGGAGGGCTCGAGGCTGACCGACTATGTCACCATCCAGGTTAGCCTGTATTAGATGTGGCATGATGGGTCAGCGTATCTTACCATGGTTGCATCCTGAAGCGCGTCGTTCCAGGCCAACTGTCTCGCCATGACGAATGAACGATTTGCATAGGAATCAGAGTGTAAGGGATCGGCATCGATTTGTTCTGTGAACAACTGTATAGCAGCAGGCAGGTCCCCAGTTATACATGCATTGCGAGCTGCTGCGTTTATAACGAGGATCTGCGTGAAGCATGCTCGTGTTGTGCTATAAGAGTCAAAGGTGTATACATGCCTTGAAACCAGAGCCCTCTTGAGCCTTTTCATCATGTCTGTGAGATAGGACCAAGGATGAGAAATCACCGGACACTTACCGGTGACAGTCCCTTGGGTAGTTCCCACTCTGAGATCTTAAGATCACCACCTCCGCTGAAGATGTGCCCGCCATCCATGGAGAAGGCAATGCACTGTACGTCGCTGGAGTGTTTCATGGGTTGATCTGAGAGCCGCCAGAGGCGTACAAACGTATCACTAGATGCAGATGCAAGGAGCGTGCCAGAAGCATCTAATGGCAATGGAATTGATGGCGTTGGTATGACCTGTTAATGGATCACCAACCTGCTCCCAGGTCGATGAATCCTATACCCGTATGGTACAATCATTATTGTTCCTACCCGCTGAGAGAAGGCGTGTAGCATCAGGCGTCCACGCGAGAGAGTAGTTATATGAACTGAACGCTGCATGACCCTTGAACCTTGCGACGCAGTCACGCTTGCCTAAATCATAAACCTGGATATCACTGTCTGTTGCAATCGCAAGCACTTCACCAGATGGTGAATACCGAACGCAGTTGACATCTGCACCACAACTGATCGGTGTTCCTGACGACTGCCACGTGGTTGTGTTCCATAGCTTCGTCGTGTCGTCCCATGAACCACTTGCCAGCATGGAGCCATCTGGAGAAAAACACAAGGTAAAGATTCTTCCATGGTGAGCTTCGATAGTTGGGACGAGGGAATCTCCAGTGTTTCCGTGCCAAGCAATGAGCTTTCCGTCCAGATCACCGCTTGCTATTAATCGCCCATCCCGTGATACCGCCAATGCTTTCACATTGGCAGGATGCCCCACCATCTTCTTCAACACAACATTGTCTTTCAAGTCCCACAGACGAAGCGTATTATCTTCTGAGCTTGTAACTATGCGTCGTTGATCAGGAAAAACTGCGACTGCAGTTACACGTGCTTCGTGATCTTTAAATATTCGAACTGGTGTAGTGCTTGGGACAAGCCCGGTGGGCGCCATTTGATTGGAGATTGATCTTGTGGGGTGCGATCGAGGTAGACTCCTTGTTGGAGGGATTGCGGGTGTCTTGCACTAGGCTGCAGAGGTTCGTTAACTGTGTAATCTTATGCAGATTTGAATCACAATGTTTATTGACTTTCCTCTGCCTCGTGCCCAACTCGTGCTTCATTAGATGCCATGAGGCTGTTATCAAAAGTTTTGACGGATGCATCTCACTTACGTCGCCGCCGTAATAGTACCAGCCTGAGTGATGGAAAAGTGCGGCAGTCCTGGACTGGTACATCCGATTCCCCGTTCAAGAGCCCTTGAAGCGGCCTACTTGAATGTCACGGGTTCGAATGCGTCCGAACGCTGAACGCAAACATATAATTTGGAGGAGCGAAAGGATTTCGTAGATATTTTTCACATTTACACTAGAAGATCAGCTTGAACGTCAAGCAAACTTCAAGTGTAGTCGACTCACCTGTCAACGTTTCAACAAGTCGCCTGCAAACTTTGTTGGTTTGTTTGGTATCGGTCAATTGGGTTAACTCCTTACCGCCACTACTATTATTAATAGGTCACTGTCTAATATCTATACGTATGCACTCATCCACTCACGCACAAAAGACCACTCTTGTAGTTCTGGAGTGCCGCAATACAAATAGACATGTGGGAAGCAAAGTGATATAGAGTTGTACATATTGTTCAGTCACCGTCAACGTATCTAACAAATTTGTACAAAGAATGCATCAAAACCGGATCAATGATTGTAATACTAACAAGAACGCGCACACGGAGGGGATCGCACGACAAGCTCTCTGATGCGTCCCGTAGCGAGATCATACAGCCATCCATGTACAGAGACATCATTCCCGGCTGCCCACGCAGTGACAATCGGTTCCGACAGGCAAATATTTTCAACCTGCTTATAGATGTTGGCTTCAATAACCTTCTCCACTGCCTCATTCTCAGGTAGTCCGTCGAGATCAAGGGTTCGAACGAGTTGGATGAGGGGGATCAACCAACGCGTGAGTGGGTCGTGGGGTTCGACGGGCCCTCCGTCAGCAGCCTCTATCGCTGCTATGGCACCTCCGCAGATACTGTGACCGACGAGGACAACTGTTAAAAGTGTGCACCTATTAGAGGGACGATCGAAACATTATCATGAGAAGAACAAGAGACTGACCATGTTTGACGTCGACCTGGTGGACAGCGAAGGATAGGACGGAGTTAACGTTGTCATCAAAGCTGTGGAATTGGCTGTGGGGATAGTGAGTATGTTGTACTCTAGACTCAGAGTCAAACGAATGGTTGATATGTACTTTGCAATGTTCGTGTGTGTAAAGATGTCGCCAGGCATGGACGCTGTGACGACAGAGGCTGGCACTCGCGAGTCAGAGCAGCCAATCCAAAGGACCTAAATGGCAGTAAGACAGTTATCGTAGGGGCATGCGATGAGGCACAGAACACACCTCGGGCCTTTGGGGATAAGTAGCAGAGTCCTTGAAGAAATTAGGATCATTTTTTATTACGTTTTGCGCCCATTCCTCATTGGCGTTGATCAAGTCCTCTGTGACATCCAATTGGAGATGAGACATGCTGGGGGGATTGAGATGCAAAGCGTTACGATAAAGTGAAGGGTTTTTATAAGGACAGTGATATATGGCCCTTACGAATAACCTTTAATTGCAGCAAAGTTTCCGGCTTCTTCGCACATGGGGGCACCGGGTGTCGTAGATGCCATGTTACCGTTCCGAAGGACTTCGGCTCCAAATATCGAGAAGAACGAGGTATTTGCATTACCTCACGTTTGGCATTCGTCAAGACCTCCAGCACCACTCTGTAAGGAATTTTCTGCTCACGTATAAGGTTAAGCACATTGCGATTTGCGCGTGTGCTACTGCCCAACCTGAGGTTTGTGCCCTCTCGTGTCACACCCTAGCCTTAACCTCATGGAGCCTGGCACTACCTCGACACCTCGAAACCCCGCGCAAGGGCGTGACCTCTTGAACCGCCTGTCACTTCCTTTCTGCTTATTAAGCCTTATTCTTGTTACGCATAGCATGAGACGGAAGGTGAATTGAGGAAGACCACGCACAAGATGAGAAAACATGGAAAAAATATTTCCGAGCAGAAAATGAAAGAGACACATCTCTATTTTTTGAAAAAAAGCTCGGCCAACTTCAATGAAGGATCCCGAAATGGATAACACATTCTGACTGATTGTTGTCATTTGCTAGTGTGAAGTTGATGATGGTGGTACCAGCACAGGTTCATGTTTTGGAATACATGGCGACGGTGATGCTAATAAAATACGAGCGGTACAATCCTCGATACCTGGGGGAGATGCAGTTGCAATTGAGACCGGAGATGTCGATGATACTCGGTGACATTATGTTCAGTGTTGTCAGCAGGATAATGTAGGATCAGTTGGACGGAAGCAGCGAAAGTGGCAGAGTAGGGTTTGGTTCCATACACTGATTTGACTTGGAGGTTAGATGAGCACCGATGATGAGTAGGTTAACCTATGAGCAACCGGAGTGATAGTTCAGGTAACATGCAGATGAATGATCATTGGCGTTGGCGAGCGCTTCTTGTTCATGGTCGAGAGGTTTTTGCCACTGCCGCCGTTCCGGCTATTCGGGTAAGTCAGATAGCTGATGAGGTTTTCGAGGTCTTGTTATAACGTTCTTAAGTTACGCTGCACGTACCTTGTTCTTGAAATATATCAAGGTTTGATAACGGTATTCACTTAAATAATTTGCAATGTATGTAGATTTAGGATGAGGGTGGAGGATGTCACAGTTCAAAGGGTTTGGACTTGTTTGGTTTTCGCGCCGAGTGGGAACGACTGGACCATATGGCGCCATTGGCCGCTGAACTTTAGTGCTCAACGACCAACAGAACACGCAGAGCGATGCGGACTATCAAGCTCGTCGTTATCGGCGCTTCGGGCGTAGGCAAGACTTCTTTGCGTGGTCAGGTCCGTATTCCGCCTCTCAACCTTAATTGCTTGAACATTACTTATCTACCCGGGTAGTACATATCAGGTCGTTTTCCACCAGCTACCGCCCAACAATCGGTACACATTTCATAACCAAATCCCTTCCTGACCCAAGTAAACCAACCGAGGCCATCTCTCTTCAAATATGGGTACGTCTGCTTCGAGCTCCCTTTGTCTTCCATTCGCTTATGCACACGATAGGATACCGCAGGCCAAGAACGCTTTTCATCACTCTCCTCCGCGTTCTCCCGCGGCGCAGACGCTGTCCTACTCATGTTCGACGTCAGTGCACCTGATACTATATACGCGCTCACGAAATGGTGGAAGGAGTTCAAGCACCAAGCACCGGTCAGCGATGAAGAGGCTGATAACTTTTGTTGCGTAGTCGTTGGGAATAAAATGGATCTGTTGCAGCCTGGGATGGGCATCACTGCGGAAGAAGCGAAGAAATTCGTGCAGGAACTATTCCTGAACCAGAGCCTGTAGAATGCATGGAGGGAGAAATCGTGGTAGAAGACATTGCTTCAGGGGAAGACGAAGATACTATTCTCGGGCACGAACACGAACATGCATACGAAGCCGATACAGACCCATCTCTCCTTGCCCCTTCCGCACGAATAGACATTCAGAACCGCCGCAAACTCTCAAAATCTCGTTCCCCCTCAAGTACACCCCACACCAGCACATTTTTATACGGAACATTCCGCTCCGGCTTAACCTCTTTCCATACCCCCTCTTCCTCCCTCTCTGATATATATACAAGCGCGCGGTCACCTCCGCTTCCCGGGTCTCGACCTGAATCACCGGTACGAGTGAGGAGAATGATGAGTTTGTCTAGTACGGTTACTACAACTTCTTCTTCATCTGCGCTTACTATCACGCCGAGTCTATTCACGAAGGGCCAACGTTCGCATACACCACCTCAATTGGACCCAGATCAACCTCTTTCCTTCACTCTCCCAGACCTACCAGACACAGGCCCGAAGCTCTTCTTCACATCCGCAAAGACCGGAACGGGTGTTAGTGACACATTTGAGTATATCGTGGAGGTGGTGAAGAGGCTGTGGAGGACGAGAACGTCTCATTGAGAGTGATGGGGATACGATTAGGTTAGGTTGGGGTTGGGGCTGGAGGATGAGAAGAAGAGTGGAATGCCCCGGGTGTGTGTTGTGGGCAATAGTGGTACTTCATGATGTCAAACGAGGCTGACGTGTAAGCTTTGAATGGAGAGTGGATGAGGGTAACGACGGAGGCGGAAGTATTGAAGGTTGTTAAATCAGGCCAGAAATCATCGACACTTCAAAACAGACTTTGATTGACATACTCACACATTCTCTTTACACTATTCCCCAGGACAGCTCATAGAGCACCGCGCTTAACATTTTCTGTTGTTTGCTGTGGTCAGGTAACGCTACGGTGTACCGGCGGCTAGCCTGCATTGGATTGTATCAAACTGCAAGTGATGGGAGACTGAGCGCAAAGACCGATGTGAGTAGACCATGCCTGACATGGCCTCCACTACATCAGTCCATCTGCCTTGTTCATCTGTGTAGTAAACGTGAATTTGTAATGAGGCTATGTCAGTGAGTGCATGATGGCCATGAGGTGTTATGTCTAACATAGGAACACGGAAGCAATGCGATCTGTGTGCGCTCGGCAGTCTCCTGTTTGTACGCGTTATTCGCTTATCTCCGTTCCTCCATTTGCAATCGTGCTCCAATGAGCCCCACAGCATTCATTTCTCTCCAAACTACGCAGATTCGTGGAGGTTCAGATTCCTCACACCGGAGAGATACATTGCCTGTCTCGCAGATCAGCTTTTCTTTCAATCAAGTGCGTTCAAGCTGGAACGTTAATCACAAACAGTTTCCTCTGCGACTTGCTTATGCGATGACCGACGAATGTCAAGCATGTCAAGGGCTGACGCTTGACTTAGTACGTACAGATTTATACATAAACTTAGGTCAAGTGGGTCTGCAGTGAGGCTATGTCAGTGAGCGCATCATGGCGGATGTGCTCTATACAGTGTCAATGCTCAGCCACAGATCCATGTAGTTGCTTAGTATCATAGCGCCGTCGCTGTTTCCACCACAACATTGTCCTAACGTCATTGCTGAGGTGAGTATTTGTGGTCCATACCCTTGGTACTCTCTTGCTGATTTGTGTAGTTGTCAGGTATATCCTTTCTTCGACATTATTTCAGAATATGCTGTCTTTCATTTCTAGAAGTTCGCATCGCCACCGCCACTGCTAAAGTGCTGATGTATTGATTGATCTGAGGGTATGTGAGGACGAAATATTTATTCGACGTAACTCATGCACATGCTCTATCAGACTTAGCCCGATCTCCTCATCACCATCACTGTATCAGTATGACACTGGGCGGAGTCCCTCGCTCAATATGATGTTCGACAAAGACTAGTTACCATCAGTAGGCAAACACGATCCTCTTGCTTCCAACTGATCTTTGTGCATCTTCAATGTCTGGCACGGTGGGACAGAAGGGACGACTGCGTCTTTTTGATGTGGAGGCATGAGGTTGGGCCCGTCAAATAGCCCTCAAGTTGATGGTACGTATACTTGACCGTGACGTGCCACATGGGGCCGGTTGCTACGTGGAGGTGTATTGACATTGTAGAATCTAAAAAAAGTGGCTACAAAAATGACAAACCTACTTTTTCGCTGCTGTGCCTGCCACCTTCAAGTTCCGGCTCATGTTTACTAATATACGGATGTTCTCATTGTCTTCTGCTACAAACAGTTCATGCCTGTTACTTCGCTGTACCACAGAAATCTGCAGCCGAAACATCAACCTACTAGTAAGTGAGAATTGCGCCAAGGAATGTTTGAATTCAAGTCTCTCAGAGCTGTGCCGAAATCATGATGGTATGACAGGGATCTTACGAGACCGCTGGTCCGTATTTTGTTCGGGAACTTACGATTCAATCAGACGGGGTTGCTAACTTTGCAACTGCCACTGCTGTGGCGGTGTCGCTTTATGCGATACAGGGTTACAGGAGCTGAAGAGCTGAAATGTATAAAGGTAGTACTGGGGCATTGCTATGGGAAGTAACACCTTACTCGTGGCGCTTTCCTCCCTGTAAGTTCAGTTCACGGCTCAAAGATCCTCTAGTTTTCGCACTCATCATCATCGCCTCAACACTTTTATAGGAACAGTCAGGATGCTCTGGCGCTCACTCATGCATAAAGAATCGGAAATCACTTGCTCCGATGACATAGGAAGAACGAAAACACACGGTCAAGAGCAGAGATACCTCAGTCCTACTACTGGACTTTGCCGAAAGCTCATAGTGCAAGCCGTCACACCCTCTGGGAAATTTGAAGTTCCCATCAAGGATGAAACCAGCGAGGCCTGCAAACTCGCTATATGGCTGCTAACCCATTGCCCCGTAAGGGGATGGATTTTTTTCAAGTGGATCAGAAAATTCTTCTGGCTTTCACTGAAGCTATTAATTCCAATTATCTGGTTTCTCGTGGAACTTTACTTCAACAGTGGTAACTCTGGGGATGATGCAGAGTCATCGTATAACACAGGATACTACAGACCTTATCTTCGCCGGTTTCAGGGACAGCTATGGGCAGCTCGTTCTCGCAGAGAGCATTCATCACGCCTCAAAGGTGAACCTGAGATGATGACCCGTACGCATGCTTGTTACCCTCGAACTCTCATGATCCGCAGCCCAAATCGGACCGAGTGGGTCAGATGCACAGATCGCGATGCGATCATCCACAGTAAATACATCGCCATCTCTTACCGCGCCGACGATGTCTACCCTCAAGGCTCTGATCAGAAGGAAAAGATGGCACAGTTTATAGACGACGTTCGTGCAGCGGTGCTCAGACAGCAATTCGATGCCTACTGGCTCGACCTGGAGTGTTTAGGGAAGACTGAGTCAGAGAAGAATCTGGATGTGTATTGCATGGCGGACGTCTACCGTAGAGCGGAGACGACGTTGATCATGCTCGGGAGATCTGAAGATGGAGAGAGGAAGTGCTGGAGCAGCTGGGGTGGACGGATATGGACTTTTCCAGAAGCTCTCCTGAGCTCTCGACTTTGTTACAAATTCCGGGATCGGGAAGAGATCAATTCGTTGTCGTTGTTTCAGCTGGCTAACCTGGCCTATTCGGACTCCGAAGATGAACAAGCAGTCATCAATGCATATGGTAATGGGAAGGATCCGCTGGAGCGGCTGGAGCGTTTGGCACTTTTGAAAAAAGCTATTTGGCGACGCGCTATGGCACGCCTGCCAAAGCCTTCTGGCCCTCCACCACCCCCAAAGCCATATATGATAGGTCGAGGGCCTATCACCGGAGGGGGGTATACGCCACACAAGGCGGAGCGAGTTTATGCGCTCATGGGCTTTTTTGAGCACCGCATTCAGCCGACCCGCCAGGAAGATGAGTTCCATGCACTCGCGAGGTTGTCAATGGCCAACGATAATGACCGTATCACTGAGCGCATGGTGTCCATGTTTCCCTTAACCACCACCCAAGGGACGGGCTGGTACGCCGACGATGATATTTACCATGCGAATCTTTGGGACATTCTTCCGGAGATCCAAGTCGCTGGTGTGACAGAGAAGGGAGCTCTCGTCTTGGATGGCTGTCGGGCAGCAGCCATCAGATGGAAGAACTTCCCAGATGTTGTATTTGCGAATACATATTCGCTGACGAGGACATTTTTCGGTTCCATACCGTATTTTTCCTGGCCATGCATTGTCGTCGGGATAGCGCTAGAGGCGGCGGAGTTCAGAGTAGGAGGCTTCGTGTTCATTGCCGTTGGACTCCTCCTCCTTTTCCTTTCCCCTCTACTACTTGTCTTTGGTAGATCTGGGCGTATCGTCACCGCGCAACCGTGGTTGATCGGGGTCAAAGGAGTGATTGACAGAAAAACGGCAGAGAGTCACTTATATGGGGGTACAGTCGCACACTTCCCAAAGATAGCACACCTCCCAACGATGCTTCTCACCCCAAGCGGTTCACCGTTGTCAATCCCGGAACAACTTGCGAGACGGAAAGGTTCAGACAAACAATACGAGGATGCGAAGGAAGAAGCGAAGAGTGGACCGGGACATATGTACACGCTCGTCGACACATACTCGTCGACCATGTACTATTTCCGTGCTGAGCGACCGCCAACAGTGTGCATATTCGCAGGACGGGAGGGAGGGCTTGGGAGGTTTGTGCTTTGTTCGGAGAACTGCAAGGAGAATGAACTGCGTAAGGAGATGGTGTTGCGGATGCCCACGGAGATCAGTCAAAGGATGGAACTGTGTGGTTGGGTCGCGCTTGGATGAGATCGATTTGTAGACGGCCTGGGGCCATTTGAAGGAAACACACTTCTTGATATCTCACTATGTACCTTGCTTAGAGTACGATATGCTTTACTGGGAGACCTGCGTCTTTATATGCGTGTAATGGATCAAAAAATACAGTTGACAATGCACAAAGGGTCTAGCGTTTAGCTGAAGTCGCACACATTGTAGATATATTGAGATACTTGCGAGCTATTGAAAGTCATCCTGCAAAACGAGGCAGGTTGAGAGGAGACGATGACTCGGATCCCATGGATGGACAAGCGACGTCTGTCGAGTGGGCCTCGCCTGCCATAGCTACATCAGCATCTCCTTTGGGGTGATCAACAAGTTGCAAGTCTCGGCGCCCTACCGTTGGACATGACATTCGTCCCATGAACTCCGACGCACAACCTTGAGGACTACAGGGAAAGTGATGCTGAGGCTCACTCTCGGTGGGAGCAGCTGGGTCCTCTTCTGCCACTTCTATTACATAGAAGAGGTATCGCACAGCCCGGTTGTGGGATGCAGACGATGACTTCTGATAAGACGTCCTGAATCAGATTTTTTTTCCTTGATTATTCGTGTGCTCAAGGGATAATCAGAAGTGTTCAGCGAAATGGAAGTTTGGAATTTGTCAATCAGAAATGGAGACAAAGCCTGCCGAAAATTTAGCAGATCAGTAGAGTTCTTCTGCAAAATTTTCTTGTGCGACGCCCGGAACGTCAAGACGGACCTATAAAAATTTTCACATGAGAAGAAAATCGTACCCACTAAGTAGATGCCAAAGACAGCAGCAGCAGTATAATTGGAGGACGAGTGATTTCGAGGCTTCTTGGGATCTCCTCTTACACTTCCATTCTATAGGAAAAAAATGGCGCAGTCCAGTTATTCGGATGCAGACATCTAAAAAGGCCATCTAGAAAGACCATCAGATTCCTTGGTGACTCGCATGTTCAGGGGGATCACTAAAACTGACTTGTTATCCGAAGATTGAAAATTTGTCAATCTGAATGGAGGTGAAGGGCCGCCGTGAAGGTGACAGCTGAATGGCCTATTGTTCGAGTCAGCGCTGCGTCCACAACTCCTTTGCGGACATGCAAGCCTTTTTGGCACCCCTGTGCGATACGCGGAGGGCCTGGAAATATTTACCTAGTATAGTAAACCTTGTTTATTGAGGTCGGTAAACGTTGGATACATGCCAAAGAAAACAAGCAGGGATGCATTTGGGTAATACTGAGAAGATTCGGCGGCGGACTTGTCATGATGAAGAAGATGATTACATAATTAAGTTTGGTTCTGCCATCAACTTCGTTCAACTTATCGATTATCTATTGTGGACCATGACTTGAAATATTTAACAACGGTGTTGTGCTAGTTTACTTAAAAGCCAGCTCAAGTTTGCGTGTTCTGATTCTCAAAGTTCGCTTTTCTTTTCTGTCTGAGCCTCCTTAGGCCTCATCATCATGGCCGATAATGCTGATGCCACCGTACAAAAAACACCTCCCCGTAACTCTTCCATGTCAGCCGACTCGGAGGCTGTACTCAAGTCTACCCCACTCGCAGTTGGTTCCGCTGCTGTCAGCGAACACATCAGTACTGTTGGCGTTGAGTGCGTCAATTCTTCCTTTTGTTTTCGCCACTATCACTCATATCAGTAATTTTTGCAGAGTCAACAACGTCCGCCCATGGATCACGAGGGACGTCCAAAACTTTGAGAAGTGTGAGGCAGATACGATGCTGCAGGTACTCCTTGCAAGGTGCACAGGTTCTTCCCTTTCTGTTAGCGAGGAATCGAAGCTACTCGAAGCCTCTCTCGAGGCCGTCCTACCCATCTGCAATGTGGGGGCTGTGGCGCAGGAGATAAAGGGACACCTGACTGATTTGTAAGTCAGTATTTCGAATAGTGCGAAAGAAGACTGACGCTGTTATCAAGTTGTAATATCGAACGCGAAACAGCAACATACGCTCCTTTCGTCAGAGCCGCCAACTGTGCGCTCCGTGAACTAAGCAAAGTGAATGTACATGGAATACCTGCGTCTAAGGTCGACGACAAAACCAACATTTTACTCCATGTCAATGATCCAATGCCCATATACCAAAACCACCAGGGCAAACAGTCCGAACGCAAGCCTGACGTTGTCGTTATCTCTCGTCAAACTGCGCTGGGTACACAAGCCCAGCAAACGCAAGAGTCCCAGGTCCTTACTGAGACTGCGTGCAAATCACCCAAAGACAACTTTCAATGGACCGATGTTCGATCGACATTAGAGTTCAAACGCTCCCGGAAGCTTCTGCCTCACCCGCCGTCCACTTATAAGACAAATTACGTTGTTCCTTCTCCTTCTGCGAAGTATATGGTGTATAGGAAGGACGCGAACGGCCCTGCTAAGCCAACAGGTTCAACACCTGCTACTGGGTCTGCCCAGACCGCCCACGAAGCATCGAATGAGTGTAAGCTGTAGTATTTCCGTTTTCTCCTTCATTACTGACTTGCGCGAGGCAGTAAGACCCTCATCGCAGCAACTCAGCAAAGGAGTCAAGCGCAAGCGAGCCGGCAATAATGAAAATCATACTGAAGAGACGGAGCCGCGTAAACTCCATCCTATCGTCCAGAACGGCCTGTACGTTGCAGAGATGTTTGCGGCTCATATCGCGCGGCAACATGTCATCTCCTTTATTGTTAACAGTAAGTTGATGGGATCCTGTTTGCCTGACGTCAAACTGATCATTCGTTCTAGACGACTACATTCACGTCTGGTTTTTTGATCGTGAGGCGACAATTCAAAGTGCTGCCATCAACTTCGTTCAGGACCTCCCGCGCTTTTTGGTGTTACTTCTCATCATGCAGCGGATGGGATACGAGCAGTGGGGCCTTAACCGAGTGTTTGAGCCTGAGCCTGGATTTTCGGGCCCGGTGCTGGTTAAGGATACCCAAATCGACCTCGAACTGGACGTGAAGTCTGACGAGCGCGTGACTCATTTCGGTATACGCGGACGTGCAACTACTGTATTTCCAGTCAAGAGTCAGGCACTATCAGGTCGGCCCCGGGGTCCCCATTTTCGCAATGAATCCCCTGAACTGGTGGCCAAGCTCTATTGGCCAGAAGAGACACGTCAGAGCGAGCCAGACATTCTCAACGAAGTCTACAAGATTGCACAGACAGATCCAGATGTGCGGGGCCACGTCCCAGAGCTTGTCTGGTTCCACAAGTTTGAAGAAACATCCACGTCCAAAATCAGAATCGCACTGGGACTGAAGGACGCTGAACGGGCAAAGCAGGGCAGCCGTGTCCTGTGCATCATCGTATTCAGAAAGCTTATCCCGATCACGACGCTTTCCGGCAAGGAGTTCATTACCGCATGGTGGCAAATTGTGAAGTGTAGGTGATTTTCTTCTTCTGCCTTTTATCATTCATTCATTACTCCGACAGGTCATCGTGCCCTCTGGAAGGGAGGCGTGCTTCACCGGGATGTCAGCCCTAGCAATCTCATGGGGTACCGCTTACGCGGTCAATTCTTTGGCGTTCTCAATGACTACGACTTATCGTCGTTTAAACGCGATGGTCCCAGTGGCCTCGAGCGCACGGGGACGGTGCCATTCATGTCAATGAACCTTCTCACGCCAGAAGCCATAGCAGGCGAGGTCGAGCACGTGTACGCGCATGATGCTGAATCGTTCATCTGGGTCCTCACCTGGATCTGCCTCCGGTATGAAGATGGCAAGCTCCTCAGCCAAAACAGACCACTAGAAGAATGGCTGAAGTTAGATGCTGTTCGATGCAGGAAGGAAAAAAACGACTTTAGGTCAGGGTTCAGTGATGCACGTCCATCTGGATCACACAAAGCGTCCTGGGGCCTTGTAAAGAAATGCTTTTCGGGGATCCAGTCGCTTTATACTCTAGATGGGTATCGCAAACTGGCTGATCAACCGGCGTTCGAGTTGTTACTTCAGGGACCTATGCTGCACCATGAGGGTCATTTATCTGCCAAGTAGGTTAGGTATACTTGTAGTTGAGTAGCGTGCCTCCGCAGTTACAAATCACTTTGTAGAATGAACAAGAAGCCGTTGGGTACTACTATGACTTTGCAATGAATTTGGATGCCACTGGTATTGTCTGCACATCATGCGGTGGCCATAGGTACATTTTCGACAGTTCAGCTAGGATAAAGGGCTAAAGAAGCCATGGGATTATAGTGTAAGGGAGGAGCCCCTCCTGTATGAGGAATGAATCATGAGAGTGGGGCGCACCAAATGGTTTTTAACCAACACATAGTCCGATGATTTGAACATCGAGAAATGTATGAGGGCCTGTCGACACATGTTTACAAAAACGAGATGTGCAATGGAGATGATCTAATCTGGGGCACAATGGTGGGCAACCGCAAGAATGGTGCAATAAAACAATCATTTCACAGAGGCTAGGCGCCCGCCCGTATTTGAGAACGCGTACTATATCTATCGTCCCCACTGTAACTTATACAATGATATTTGTGGATAGAGATTTGCGTAACGGTGACCAAGGATTGAGATGATTCTCCCCAGCTTTCCCCACCTTCTGAGGACTGCAATTGAGCAGTGGTCCAGGTAACTTTGATCGTGCTGATCCGATCATCATAAAATGATTGTTTATGTAATTTGATAATTTTCGTGCACACCAAAAGTTAACTATATGTACTTACCGATTATTTAATTGCGTACAACCTTGACTTGAATGTCTGCCAACAGTAGGGTCGTGCCAGGTTAAAAGCGAGGTCAGGTCTGGGTATTCTCGTTTCCGAAGTTCACTTTTCCGAGTTTCCTACCTCAGGCCTCGTCATGGCCAATAGTAACGCTGGTGCCACCCCACAAAAGACATCTTTCCGTGCTAACACTACATTCTCCTCTGAGGCTGGGATCAAGTCTACTCCACGAGCAATCGGTTTCATTGTCGCCAGCGAGTATGTCAACACTGTAGACATTCAGTGCGTCAACCCTTTTTTTAAAATCGTTTTGTCATCATCACTCGTATTCAACTTCGCCAATTATGCAGCGTCGATACTGTACGCCCATGGATCGTGCGAGACGTCCAGAAGTTCGAGAGATGTAAGACGGATGCTATACAACAGGGGCTGCATGCAAGATGCATAGGCTTTAAGCAGATATCTGAGTGGATGGCCAAGGATATGCAAATCGACCTCGAATTGGATTTGAAGTTTGACAAGTGCACGACTCGTATTGGTGATGTGCCCATCATCACAGTCAAGAGCAAGGCACTATTGGTTCTCCAGCTGGATACCTATTGTAAATCCCCCGAAGTACTTTCCAGGCTCTGTTGGCCAGAAGACACGCATCAGAGTGAACTAATAATCCCCGACGAGGTCTGCAAGATTGCGCAAATAGATCCTGATGCGGTGGGACACACCCCAGGGCTGTTATGGTCCTACAAGTTGAAAGGAACATCGAAGTACAAAATAAGCAATGGACCAGCACTGCAGGATATCGAACACGTCAAATCAGGCAGCCGTGTCTTGACTATCATCGTATTCAGAAAGCTTATCCCGATCACAACGCTCTCTGGCGAGGAGTTTCTTGCTGCATGGTGGGAAGTTGTGAAGTGTAGGTGTTTTTCTTCTCCTTCTCCTGCTCGTTATCATTTATCCACTGCTCAACAGGCCATCACGCCCTCTGGAAAGGAGGCGTGCATCACCGGGATGTCAGCCCTAGCAATCTCATGGGGTACCGCATACGCGGTCAATTCATAGGCGTCCTCAACGACTACGACTTATCGTCGTTTAAACGTTATGGTCCCAGTGGCCTCGAGCGCACGGGGACGGTACCATTCATGGCAATAAACCTTCTCACGCCAGAAGCCATAGCAGGCGAGGTCGAGCACGTGTACGCGCATGATGCTGAATCGTTCATCTGGGTCCTCACCTGGATCTGCCTCCGGTATGAAGATGGCAAGCTCTTCAGCCAAAACAGACCACTAGAAGAATGGCTGAAGTTGGATGCTATTCGATGCAGGGAGAAAAAAAACGACTTTAGGACAGTGGGGTTCAGTGATTCCCGTCCGTCTGAATCACACAAAGCGTCCTGGGGCCTTGTACATAAATGTCTTTTGGGGATCCAGTCGCTTTATACTCTAGATGGGTATCGCAAACTGGCTGATCGACTGTCATTTGAGTTATTACTTGAGGGACCTATGCTGGAGCATGATGTTCATTTATCTGTCAAGTAGGGTAGGTATATTTGTAGTTGAGGCAGCGCGTCTCCGGAATCACGCGATGTTACAAATTATCTTGTAGAATGAACGATCGCAGACGAGAAGTGGTCTCAGCCACTGCAATATTAATGAATTTAGATACCACTGACTTAAACTAATGTTCGCCGCACACTGGCATATGATCCTGCGGTGTGGAGTTAAAAAGCCAAAGGAAATAAGAGGGAATGCATACATCCTGGACCCGGTCGCCTCTATCATGTAAGTAGCGCTCAGCTCTCGATCCTTCTGATTCAACTAGGAGTGTTGATGATTATTTGATTTGATCTACAGCCACTGCCACGCGCACTAACCGTGGAATCTGCCAGGTTCGCATGCCATCAACCAACCATCAACCTTGTTTGACTGCTTACCGATTGTATACAACTTTGACTTTGAATGCCTGACAATAGGGCTGTGTTAGGTTAAAACCGAGCTCAGGCCTCGTCATGGCCAATAACGCTGGCACTACCCCACAAAAGACACTTCCCCGTAACTCTTCCTGCTTTGCTGAGGCCGGGCTCAAGTCTACTCCACGAGCAATCGATTTCGCTATCGCCAGCGAACATTTCAACACTTTAGGCATTCAGTGCGTCAACCCTTTCTTAAAAATCCTTTTGCCACCATCGCCCATGCTAAACTTCGCCATTCGTGCAGAGCTGATACCATACGCTCATGGATTGCGCGAGACGTCCAGAAGCCCGAGAAACACGAGGAGGACACCATACTGTGCACAGGCCTTGATCAGTTACTTGATCCTGAGCCCAGATTTTTGGACGAGGTGATGGCAAAGGATGCGCAAATCGATCTTGAATTTAAATTGAATATTGAGAAGTGCATGACTCGTATCGGTAATGTGCCCACCATCATCACAGTCAAAAACAAGGCACTATTGGGTCTCCAGCTGGATACCTATTGTAAATCTCCCGAAGTACTTTCCAGGCTCTGTTGGCCAGAAGACACGTATCAGAACGAGCCGATTGTCCCCGACAAGGTCTACAAGACTACGCAAATAGATCCTGATGCGGTGGGCCACACCCCAGGGCTGTTATGGTCCTACAAGTTCAAAGGAAAATCGAAGTACACGATAAGAAATGGACCAGCACTACAAGATATCCAACATGTCAAATCAGGCAGCCGTGTCTTGACTATCATCGTATCGAGAAATCTTATCCCGATCACAACGCTCTCTGGCAAGGAGTTCCTTGCTGCATGGTGGGAAGTTGTGAAGTGTAGGCGTTTTTTCTCTCCTTATCCCGCTCTTTAGCATTCATACACTACTCTACTCGACAGGCCACCGTGCCCTCTGGAAGGGAGGCGTGCATCACAGGAATATCAGCCCTAGCAATCTCATGGGGTACCGCATACGCGGTCAATTCATAGGCGTCCTCAACGACTACGACTTATCGTCGTTTCAACGAGACAGTCCCAGCGGCCTTGAGCGCACGGGGACGGTACCATTCATGGCAGTAAACCTTCTCAAACCAGAAGCCGTAGCGGGCAAGGTCGAGCACGTGTACGCGCATGATGCTGAATCGTTCATCTGGGTCCTCACCTGGATCTGCCTCCGGTATGAAGATGGCAAGCTCCTCAGCCAAACCAGACCACTAGAAGAATGGCTGAAGTTGGATGCTATTCGATGCAGGAAGGCAAAGACCTACTTTTGGTCCGTGAGGTGCAGTGATGCGCGTCCATCTGGATCGCATGAAGCATCCTGGGACCTTGTAAAAAGATGCTTTATGGGGATCCACTCGCTTTATACTCCAATTGGGTACCGCAAACTGGCTGATCAATCGGCTTTCGAGTTGTTGCTCGAGGGGCCTATGCTGGAGCACGACGGTTCTTTATCTGCCAAGCAGGATAGGTATACCTGTAGTTGAGGCAGCGTACCTCCGGAATTAAGAAACGCTACAAACTACTTTGTATAATGAACAATTGTGGGCGAGAAGCGATCTCAGGTGCTACTATGACTTCGCAATGAATTTAGATGCCACTAGCGCTCGCTGCACGTCGTGCGGTGGCCGTAAGTATATTTTCGACTAGCCAAAGCAATGTGTTCAAGAAGCCAGACCGATCATCGTGATGCGAGGCAGGCATTCAGCTTCTGTCAACACAGGTTTACTAGATTGAGATGTGCAATGGAGATGAACTAATCTGGTGCACAACAGTAAGCATCAGCAGAGAATGGTACAATAAGACAATCACGGAGGCTAAGTGCACGCATTCGAATAATCCCCACCATAATTTATAACATGATATTTGTGGATAGAGATTTGCGTGAACAGAGACTGAAGATTGCACGATTCTCTCCAGCTCTCCGCATCTTCTGCAAATCAGGCAGGTCGATGATCCCATGAAGGGATCAACAAACATCTGTCGAGTAGGGATTGCCTGCTCAGGCTAGAACTAAATAAGTACGTTTCGTGGTGATCAGCAGGCCGTAAGTCTCAGCGCGCTAGAGACATGACATTCACCTCATGGGCTCCGACCCGTGACTTCGAGCACTGTAGGACGAGTGATTCTGAAGCTCATCGAGGGAGCAGCTTAAATCCCACAGGAGAAAGATCGCGCAGCCCGATCGAAGAAGGCAGACAGCGACTTCTGAAAGACCTTAATCATTCGTTTGGTTAGGGAATAATCTGAAGCAGTTGACAATAAATCAAAAATGCAAGCGCAATTTTGTTAAGTCTTTGGCGCAAATTCCTTGTGCAACGTGTGGAACATCCAATGGACCTGTAGCAAATCTTCAATTAGGAAGGAACGCGTACCCCCGGTAGGTGGCAAAGACATACATATATTGAGGGTGAGTGATTTGGAGTGTTCCTCCGAGTCTCCCACCTCCATTCTCTGCCCAGCCCGGTTATTAAAGGCAGGCGAACATGTCATCAAATCTCTCGTTTGTTCAGGTGGACTAGAAGTGACTCATCGTCCGAAAGGTTCGCGATATGGAAGTTCAAAATTTGGAGATGGCCCGGGAGGACCACCTATTTGTTTATGAATCTAAGGTCAAAACTAATTGCCGACCTGATGAATTTTGAAACAGACCATATTGTGTTACATATTAAGAATTTAACCCTCAATTTGAATGGAACCTGTCGCAGACGCTCTTATTCCGCTGTCTCAGGTGGTCATGCCATCGATTTCGTTCTACTTACAGATTGCACACAACCTTCGACTGTAACTGCATGCCTGGTTGTACTAGGTCAGAAACGAGTTCAGACCTGTATATTTTTGTTCCAAAAGTTTACCCTTCTTTTCTACCTTAGGCTTCATCATGGTCAATAGTGACGCTGATGCCACCCCACAAATGACGCCTCCCCGCGACTCTGCATTCCGCGCTGAGGCTTGGATCAAGTCTATACCACAAGCAATTCAGTTCCGTTGAACTGGAATCGAAGTTAGACAAATGCATGACTCTTATCGGTAATGTGAGTTGTGACCACCGTTTTTCCGATCAAGAGCAAGGTGTTATCAGGTCTCCAGCCGAATCCCCATTTTGAATCCTCCGAAGTACTGTCCAAGCTCTATTGGCCAGAAGACACGCATCAGAATGAGTCGATTATCCTCGACGAGGTCTGCAAGATTGCGCAAATAGATCCCGATGCGTCACGCCATGCCCCAGAGCTGTTATGGTACAAGTCCAAAGGAACATCGAGGTACAAAATAAGAAATGTACCAGCACTGCAGGATGCCAAACATGTCAAACCAAGCAGCCGTGTCTTGACTATCATCGTATTCAGAAATCTCAGCCCTATCACAGTGCTCTCCGGGAAGGAGTTCCTTGATGCATGGTGGCAAATTGTGAAGGGTACATTTTTTTCCTCTTTTCGTTCTCTTGTTCTTTATCATTAATTCCCTACTCCGACAGGCCATCGCATCCCTCTGGAACAGAGGCGTGCGTCACCGGGGTGTCAGTCTCGGCAATCTCACGGTATACCGCACACGCGGTCGATTCGTAGGCGTCCTCAACGACTACGACTTATCGTGGCGTAAAAAAGACAGTCCCAGCGGCGTCAAGCGTACAGGGGCAGTGCCGTTCATGGCAATAGACCTTCTCGTGCCAGAAGACACGATGGGAAAAGTCAAGCGCGCGTACGCGCATGATGTTGAATCGTTCATTTGGGTCCTCGTCTGGATCTGCCTCCGCTATGAAGATGGCAAGCCCCTCAGCAAAAACAGACCACTAGAAGAATGGCTGAAGTTGGATGCTATTGAATGCAAGAATAAAAAGACCTACTTTTGGTTAGTGGGGTTCATTTATTCGCGTCCATCTGGATCGCATGAAGCGTCCTGGGACCTTGTAAAAAGGTGCTCTGCAGAGGCCTACTCGATTTATACTCCATTCGGGTACCGCAAACTGGCGGATCATCTGGCATTCAACTTGTTACTTGAGGGACCTATGCAGGATGGGGAGTCGTAAAGAAGTGCTTTTTGGGGATCTACCCGCTTTATTCGCCATTTGGGTACCGTAAGCTGGTCGATCAATCGGCAGTCGAGCTGTTGCTCCAAGACTCTATGCAAGGGTGTCTGTCAGGAGACGGCTGGTCGTTCATATAGCAAGCGGGATATGTCTGTACGTAGTTGAGCCTCCGAGATAACGAGTTCAAGTTACAAACCAGCGATCGTGTTATAGAACATGACTTTGTGATCGATTGAGATTCCACTGTAACAACGTTTACCGCATGCCCACAATTAATTCAGTGGGCCCAAGTTATTCTCTGAACGATCTTCACCTCAAATGACGTGGTGGTGGCATACAGCCACACGAGGCTAGTGTTGAGTGTGTAAATTACACTGGCTGAAGCTTATTCAGATGACTTCAATCGAGTTATGCATCCCATCAATCATTTTATAGTATGCACAGATCGACTGGAGCCCTACTAGTGAGCGAATTAGTCGATGCCATTGACCTGCATCGACAACGATCTAGTTCATGGCGACATCGCCCTCGGCTTCAGTGTCCACTCTCGACTGTGTCGAACACGGCGTCGGCTCTACGGACCGAGTCGTCCTCAAGACGACGACTCCGATAGTAATCCATGATATGCATCAGGAATGATTTACAAACGGGATGAACAATCTCATCACCGTCAACCTGTCCATCGCGTGTCAGAGAATCGATGAGCACTGCTTGCCCAAAAACAATTGCTTGCTCTATAATTGTCATAGAAACATGGGCGCGTAACCGTGTGCAAAAGCACGCAAGCCAAGGTCAAATCGACCGACTTAAATAAGGATAGAAGAATCATCATCACTGGCAGGGAACACGGGAACAGCTAAAGATTGATGACACACCTGCTCAGCGATGACGGTCCGGATCGTGGCGCAGTTTAGGTTTCGGTCTTGATCGAAGCTGAACCTATTTGCCTATATCCCACGATATTGGTGGGATGGGCGCAGCGCTTTCTGTGTATAAGCGGGGTTATACAAGTTCTTTGATCTTAAGCGACAAGATGTTGATCATAATACAGGGGGAAACATGGCTAACGGCAACAAAGTTGGTACGAGCTGCACGCTGCACTATGCTGCAGTCGATGTGTCTCGTTCCTACGTAGGGTCTCAAAGCTTCGACATCCATTATGGGCGGCACGCCCATCTGAAATGCCGAATATGAAGAATGCTTTGTGGCATTCTGAACCTTCCTGGATGTATATGAACTGTTGTAGGAGATAGATAGAGGTAGATGTGGGTGAACGTACAAGCGGTTCTTCAATCCCCACAGATGAAGTGTCCTCTCAGGGGCCTAGACTCAACATGACATGCGCCACCTATCAGGGATCACCGCAGGAGCGCCAATTCCCTGCGAACCCCAACGTTCGAAAGAGTGAATTGATTTGGATGATGGACTACACGACTTCTTACTCTGCTTCAGAGTATTAAGCTTGTATTATTAGACGCCCGAGTCACAAAGGCTGTGAGCGGGAGCGTCGACTCACTGTATCTTGCTCGACGATTTAACATCTTCTGGCCTCTTCACAGAAAACCAATTAGAGTCAACATGCGTCAGGGATCACCGCAAGAGGGAAAATTCTTTGTGATTCCCAACGTTCAAAAGAGTGTAGTGATGGGGATAGTGGAGTGCCCCGCTTCTTATTCTGCTTCACAGTACTAAGCCTGTTTATTAGACGCCCGAGTCATGGAGGCTATTCGCTGCCCAACATCCGTGTGTTGCATGTCGACTCACTCGACGATCTAACTTCTTGCCTCTTCACAGGAAACCAATTTAGGTCTCCGACTTCGACTCCTGTCCGATCTGGCTCGAGTCCGATTTGCTCGTCACTGATCCTGCTGGTTGCATGAACGTCTTGGACTGGTCCGAATTCCTGAATGGACTTGGAGCTGATCTTAATGAAATTGAAGCTGTGCCGCAACCTGCTGACTTGACCAAACAAGCACCAACAAACAAACAATTACTCCTGCCACATCAATTCCCCTTGATCACACTGTTTCACGAAGCTGAGATGGTACGCGTCTGGTCAATCAAAGATGTGGAATCTGGATGTAGCCAAAAGCTTCGCTTCTCGTATTTGAACTGCAGATTGGAATCGTGAAGGGCTTGTTCAGCGATGCCTGTTCTATTGGAACTTCATAGGCGATGCCATGTCATCGACCTTCTTGCTGAACACTTCAACGAGCCTTGTGGTTGTTCGTAAGGAGGGCAATTGATCTCAGCAGAGCTGAATAGGGTTGAGATGGGCCTGACCATTTTGGTCGTATGACTCTTGCACTTTCTGAGCCACTTCAGCTACAGGTGCGTTCTGAGGTGCTAAATCTAAACTTTACAGCTACATTCACCGATCAGGACGACGGTAATTGACAAATGCCGGTCTTGCATATGATTGTCACCTTCACAGCTACTCCGAGTCCTGCACACGAAAACTCTTTGGCGCTAACATACTAATAGGCTTGGATCACGGCCTCTAAGAAAAGCCGTCTCCTGTCTTTCATCCTCCGGCTAACGGACGATCCATTACCAGCGCCTTCCTGATTTGGTGTTTTGGACTATAGATAGGCCTAGTAGGGACTAGCATTCTCATTTCATGGCGTCGTTCGTACAGAAACGCCGTTGATCTATAAATCATGCGGGTTCAGTGCGTTCTTTGGGTCAAATGTATATGTATCTCTTGAAGGAAAGTCTCAACCTTCCAGATCCCTGCATGTTCATTGCACCGCCAATATTGGCTGTACATGATGAAACTCGTGCCGGAACCTTTGCCGTTGCACAGCCTCGAACTTGAATTCCTATCTTATGGAAGCTTGACGGGTCCGTTCTTCCATTCAAGCCTAGCATGTCAGCGGATTGGTCACTGATGGTAACTTATTCGGTTCCCTGGCCTAACAAAAGCGAAAAGCTTTTTCATCTCCTCCATCCTTAATTCCCCCATCCTACAGCTACGATGAAAGAGATCGTGTTCAGTCCAGACGCCGTCCCTCCCCTCACTACTTTCTGTGAGTTTTGGCGTTATCGGGACCGAATGGACTATGACGATGCGCCCCTTTAGCTCAGGCCATCAAATCTAAAGGGTTCATATACGTCTCAGGCAACATCGGATGTACGCAGGATTTCACCATCGTCGAGGGCGGAGTGGGGGCGCAAACAGTGAGCTCGTACTTCCTATCCAATCAGTCACACGATGTGATGTTGTGTTACAGGTTGTTGCCCTTGAAAGTATTCGCAATATTCTCCAGGCTGCAGGATCGGGACTACATCACGTTGTGAAAGCGAACATCTATCTCACAGATCTAGAAAGGGACTTTTCTCAGATGAACAGTGCATATATGACGGTACGTCTCTATTTCTCAAAGACTTGAACTAAACAGATTGACCCCGTCACTTAGTTCTTCAATGAACGCGCGATGCCTGCCAGAACTTGCGTTGGTGTAGCTCGTCTTCCACTGGGCGCAAGCGTCGAGATCGAGTGTGTAGCAGAACTTCCAGACGCTTGATTATCCCAAGTAATCCAAGAACATTGTACAGTAGTGCTTTTTTCCATTTCTCCGATTCATCAAAGTCGAGTCAATTGCAAAGTACTATGTAAACTCTGCGCTTCTGTACTGAATATATAGGCAATACATTAAATGTTGGCAATCAGTAGAATAACGATACTAGGGGCGTAATCATTACTTAAATAAAGAAGATACATTGAACCCATCAAGATCGTAGATCATCGTGGGGAATGGACCGCATAACTCATTCTCATCATCATTGCCACCCTGCATAGCCTGCAGGGACGTCAATCTAAATTCCCGCAGCTACAGCGCTGCGCCACGCACCCTGCTTTGCTTTAAGGCCCTGCAGTAACTCGTACAACTGCTGTCGGATCTGCGGTTGATACATTTCCAGTGCAGCAGGACAAGGGTCTTCGCCCAAACACGTCTCGAGCACAGCACGCAATCGTGTGGGAATCTGATGCAGATCTCTGTTGGCTTCCAAGTTATAGCCTCATCTATAGCAGAAAGAGGAGGCGGAACAAAAAAAAAAAACGCACGACGTATCAACCCCTGATCCTCCAAACGCCCATACGACGGCGTTGAATCCGACTCCGAATTGCATGTAGGCGTCGCTGACGGCCTCGGGGGAGGCGCGTGAGGTGGACCATAGAGTGAGCGTGGATTGGAGGTTTTTCATTGCTGCGATGAGCGTGTGTACGGAATTGGGGACTGAAGCGCTGTATTGGGGGCTGGGGGCTGATGGGGTGTACTAGAGTGGAGGATTGATATGACGATGGTAGAGATGGTACCAGAAGACTGCACTTACAGCACAGTAGTTGCTTCCATATGGGCCTTGCCGCGTAGGTGTCGTAAACGCTCCCAATTTTGTAGGAGAAGTCGGATAATACTGATGCATGTCCGAGTATGTCGACGAACGGAATTAGATGATTGGCAGAGAAAATAAGGGAGCTGAGAAGGATACAAGACCAGCTAGTAAAGGACAAGGAGAGTGAGAATGGGGAGCTACAGCTTGAAGGTCAATATAGCACAGGGAAATACAGTAGGAACGAGTTTTTGAGGGGCGGAGGATGAGTCCGTTACGCTTTTATCCTAGATGAGAAAATGATTGATCCCGGTCATCCATACGCGAGCTGTGAATAAAAACGATCCGAACATGTCAACCGCACCCGTGCAATCAAAGTTGATGTTCACGAAATGTAACATGTAACCAACACAGCAGCAGGTACCGCCATTCGTGGCGCTGCATGTTTACTTACGTAATTAGCACCGCTTTGCTACTCAATGCTGTCGCCAGGACATCCAGGAGGGAGGACGACATTGATCTTGACAGTTCAGCGCGGGGAGAACTTGACATGGATGCCCGGCTTGAAACTGTATCTACCAGTGCACAGCATCCCCACCAATCAAAATCATGATACTTCCAGTCCCCTAGTCCAAGTGCGTTTGGCAATTTAGTTGCACCTTCAGCGGCTAAATGATATCCCAAGCAGATTCTGAAAACGTGTCAAATCATGATGTTATCTAGTTCTTCGGCACTGGTTTTTGATTCTGCTTTCAAGTTCGTGGAAGCAGGGTTTGGTCCCAAATCAGTGAACTTCAAAATTCAAATGAATGCACTACCCGGTCAGTCGTGCCCAACAGTGGCAGCGTTGGGTTGATATTGATGCTATGTGGTATCCCTATACCAAGCCAAACAGGGCTAGCTTTTCCGTAATACGATGGAATTACGATTATCCGACAAGTCTAGGAGGCAAAACCGTAAATTCTGATTCGATGGTGTTCCGCATTTGGTAGCAGCCTCGCTTTTCAACATGTGCAAACATGCACCGAGTCCGACTCGGAATTATTGTCCAACTGTCGAAAATCTAATATTGAACCTGCATCTGATGTACCAAAGTGATTCTTCCACAGTGAGTATTTAAATAAAGAATCTGCGAGGCTTCGCTCTCTTCGTGAACGTGCATCTCGCGGGATTATGCTCATCTATTGATCCGTGATCAGCGAAGAGAAAAACTCTTTTCAGTTCATACCTGCCCCTGCCTTATCACACGAATGCAAAGAACGAAACCCTGCAAACAGAACCCTTGATATCCATCACCATCACCATCTCTGATATCGTGATGGTTAGTAAGCATCATACCAACAATATCTTACCCAGGATAGCAGAACAAAACGTTCAACCTTCTCCACGGATTGATGAGAAATTTCAAACACGGGGCATCTCCGGGTGGGCTCATTGTCGATATGTCGTAACATCTATTGCGCCAAGTACTGGGGAACATACATGCGAAAACCCTTTGTCACATCAGGATAAAAAAACCGTCACCGCATCTATCTTCATTTGTGCGTAGTGCCCTTGTCTCGGACCATCGAGAAGACCAATTTTATTAGGCGAATCAAACAGATAGGTTTAGAGCAATCTCATCTTGATCGTGATACGAAGATAGTCCAAAGATATGCAAGTTACAGCTGCCACCCAGGGGTCGCTGTTGACCGACGCCGAGAATCCGAAGCTTGCCCGACTTTGACCGACTCCACTATCTCGTTCTTGAACCCTTCCTGAAAATCAACATCAGCATTAGAGTTCTTGCACTTCGGAGTATAGCTTACATTCGCCTTGAACGCTGAGATCAGCGGATTTACCGCTCGCCACACCCATCCATAATCATCCATCATCCTCTCTTTCTCAGAATTAGAACGCAGGAGGAACCGCGCGATTCGCAGCTGAATGTCGCGGTCCGGGATATTGTGATACTCTTCGATACTCTGCGGGAACTGCGCATCACGTTGTCTCCTAATATGTGTTTCTCGCGATTTCAACTGACGTCGCTGAGCGAGGAGCGGGAGGAGGGATTTGAGGTAGCTGTAGCGGATCTGAGATAACGCGTCGTCCATATCATGTTGAAAACGTTTCATAGGCCGTGCATCGTTGTACAGCTCCTTTAGAGCATCGTCAGACTCGTCCAAAGTTGCAGATAAATGAAGACATACATTGAGAGCGGCGAGATAATCAACCTGGACTGGATCTTCCGCGTCTACTCCCATTATTGAATCGTCGATGCAGTTGTACCTGCTAAGGACCTCTTGGCGGTATTCTGCAGCCTGGAATGCGGTGAGAAGCTCGATATCTTCTTGATGCTGCCTTCTCAGCTCCTTTATCTTATCGTCGACAATTGCTAGTGTCTCTACTGGGGCTGCGTTCGGAGTGGCTTTGAGTTCTTTCAACCTGCAGAACCTCAGCGACCGGGATACACAAAGGGGAAAAAACAAACTTACGAAGGACCATTATAAGATCCCTTGGACGCAAGAACGTACTGAGCAAAGTGATGCCTGCTAATGGCCAAGTCGTCTGGGTTGGCAGCATTGAGAGGAATGTGTCTTTCGCGAAACCCATTTTTTCCTTTGTTCGTGTCTTTCGGTTGTCGCAGACCACTTGCTGAAGACATCGTATCTAGCAGGGAACCATGGACCTGACTTTGGAAGAATAGCAGTTAGGGAGAACTTCGAAGGGACATGTGCCACCCTGTGGCAAAGGCGAGATAATCCTTTATTATTGAATAATTGTCAAGATGATTTAGAGTCTGTTCGGCCACCAATATTTGCGCCAGTTTACGCAGGTTTAGAATCTATATTTTGCTTTCATAATCATAGGACCATGCTGGTCACAGTGTGACCATCAATCAATACCAAGTGGTAGGCATGCCCGTTACCCGTCTACAATCTATCCATCATCGCAACTCTTACAGGATGTCTCGGGGCAGAAAAAGTGCCCGTGGTGGTGCAGAGCTAACGGAAGCGAGAGATTGGCGTGTGTGGACAGAAGCAGATGAAACTGTCCTCATCCAGTATGTCACCACCAACTGCTCACAAGGTGGTGATGGTATGAACTTTGATCACACGTTTTGGGCCGCTGCTGCCACTGAAATGGAAAAACACCCCTGCTCGGGTGCAAGCAAAACAGTGGCAGCATGTCAATCAAAATGGGGGCGGGTATGTACTACTACTATATCAGCCTTGGTACCCTCACTAATGATTGAGTTTCAGCTCTGTGGTACATTCAATGTCGTCGACAAAGTGGCCAATGCTTCTGGACTATCTTACAGCATGGAACACTGGAGCTTCGATCACTCCAGAGTCCGAAAACATGTGGACCGACTTTGTGAAGGTAAAGTGATTTCAATTCACATCAAACTACTACGACAATGCTAATTACTATGAATCAATAGAAAAATCCAAAGGCCAAAGGCCTCCGGGACAAGGGTTGGAAGCACTATGAGGCGCTGAAAGGTCTCATACCTGTCAAGCCAGGTAACAACAACTCGTTCTTTGCCACCATCGCGACACCACCTTCCCATCATTCCTTCGCCTTCTTCGAGCAGCACAGTCACCCCCCTTTCCTTCGACGAGGTCCATATGATGGACCTTGGAGATGCGCTCAATGGGATTGAGTTCCCCGGCTCTGTTTCATGTGGCCAGCCCGCAACCCCCCTCATCCCAGAGAGCCTCCTTCCATTCAATGCTGCACAGCAACCCTCCCTTGAGTCGGTCCGTGTTAGTGCGCCATCATCAACAGCTTCCAGTAAACAGAAGCTGATTGATAATGACGAAAGTACGCTTGATGTCATTACCCGCCCCCCACATTCAATGAAATCAGGAGACTCGGCGAAGTCTGCATGCCTGATGATGCCTGTGGCCATCCAGCAGATGGGGACTAGTATTGGTGGCCTTAACACAATGTTTGAGCGCGCGGCCAATGCTCTTGAGGCCAACACCTCCAACACCTTGGCGCGATCAGTAGATCCCATCCCTTTGCGCAGGCAGAAGGCGGTGAAAAAGTTGCAGAGTGAGGGTCTAGAGGACGTACAACTACTCAATATTTTGAATAAATTTCAGGCCGACATCGCTATCATTGATATTTATCTCGCTATTGAGGTAGATAGTCTTTGGCGGTTGTTTTTAGAGCAGCATTCAAAGTAGTGTTACATGTATTCTTGTCATGTTGTGTTCTTTTGTATTGTACTTGTAGTAGCAAAGCAATATCACTATTTCTATGGATCATAGTCTTTGATAAGGGTCTGGTCTTGATCTGACAACAATGTCATCATTTGACGGAGATACTTTGGATCATAGTCATTGATGAGGGTCTGAACGGCTATGGTATTAACACGACTACAGTAGTAGTGGTTCTATGATTGCCTGCTCCCCCCTCTGAATCCTTTCCCTGTTGTAGGCCTCCCACATCTCACTAGCAATCCGGTCACGACGGAGGCTTGCACGAGTGCGTGCATGCTCAGTAGGAGGACCGTTAGCAAGGTTTCCAGTGTCAGTGAGAATGTGCGCATCTAACACATTACAATAGTCCATCATGTCGTTTGGATCGTGAACTCGAATAACATTGTGCATGAGACACAAGGCAGGAGGAATGCGCGCTTGAATGTCCATTTTGTACTCTGGTGGGAGGAGAAGGATACGAAATCAGCGCTTGATGACACCAAAAATGCGCTCAACAGCATTTCGAAGCATTGCATGACGCAAATTGAAAAGTTCTTTGCGATTACGAGGCCTATGTAATGATGTGAACATAAGTATGAATGGTACTAGCAGAACACATCATACAAAGTATTAGCACGACCCCACTCTGCAAGATGATAATGCACGCCCCGAAACGGGACCAGAAGCTCATCGCACGAGCCAAATCCAGCGTCCACAAGATAATACTTTCCCTCAGGAATATTGAAATCGGTAGTATGAGCATCGTGATAGACACGAGCATCTGCAGCTGACCCCTCCCAACCGCTCAACATGTAGGTAAACAAAAGGTCGAATGAACATGCCACGAGGCAGTTTTGAGAGAAGTTCCCCTTGCGATCCCGAGTGGCATGCCGATCTTCACCAAAAGGATGGCATGCAATGTGTGTACCATCAATGGCTCCGATAGTGTCAACAAAGAACGGGAAGAACTTCGGGTTTTTCATGATTTCGGGGGGAGGAGGGCTATCTACATCGGGCAGGCGGACGTATGTTGTATATATCAGGTGGCAAGGAGAATGCGAAAAGAACCCGTTTAAAATACCTGAAAGAACATAAGCTTGATACTGGGACAGCAACAATATACGTACTTTGATATTGTTTCGTTGGACTGCTGAAAGTGTTCACCAAGATGGTGAATCAAGAGACCCGTGACAGACGCATAGAGAAATATAGCAAGCTGCTCTTCTGGCAGTACATCCCTGGAATCCCTGCATCCTGCTTGCCAAAGGAGATTGATGAGCACATAGAAAACGTGCTTGTGGACCCCGAGCTCGCATCTGATGCGCTCAGGGTGTCCAGTGAGAAGTTCAGTGACCCATGCAGTCCCCGACAGAGCAGAGGTATGATACGGCTCTTTGTCATAGTAGGTGTTTGAGTAAGCTTCGATCGCGGTAGTTGTTGCGTTGAGGACTGTGATGACCGTGCGCATAGCATGCATGGCCATTTGCATGATGCATGCCAGATACCTCTTATCACTCTCCTCTGCATCATCATCCATATCCTCTGCCTCCACAAGGTCGTATTCGTCCTCGTTAGCAGTCCTCGTCGTAATCAGGATCAAGAGGCATTGTATTGATAGTAGGACAAGGCATACAGGTAAGCGTTATCGAGCGTGACATCTTGTTCAAGCTCCGACAATTAGCAAAGCCAGAACCAAATTCTAACTTGCGCAAATATTGGTGGCCGAACAGACTCTTACTAAATTGCTTCGAAATATATAGTGCGAAAACTATATAATCAATACTGCTGTAAGGCTTACCACACCCTAACACTTTTTTGGATCTACCTGAGGTTTTCGACGGTTGGTGGTGTACTGTTCGTTGTTAATGAGAGTATCATGTTCTGTGGTAATTCGAACTCCATCGAGCCTCTTGAGCTTTAGTCACGACTTACCCTCAGCAATAAATAATTGTCTGAGCAACCAAGTGGGTGCAGGATTTACGAGACCAGCATCTGGTAACCTGAGCATATAATAGAGAGACTGAGGGTACATTGATGACCAGGGCTGTTGTCCACATCACGTTGCCATGTTCTTATAATATTTCAAACATACATCCCAGAAACATCTCATGCCATGGCTCGAACAGATATCAAGTTCAGTATGTTCAGTGTAGGTTTAATTGATACCTCAGCCAGATATCACACTTCATAGGTTTAGAGCACCTGCTTGATAGGTAGGTGTCATACCATCATCACATACCACAATCATGTTGTTAATATGTAATTGGATGGCGAAAGCATGAAATGAAGTCATGAAATGTTTGTATTGCTGGTGTACTATTAGATACAAGCAAAATTAATGCATACTAAATGAGCAATACTAAATAAGCAATATGTGTCCAGTAAGCACTACCAGAAAGTGAGAACAAATGGAAATAAGTGAGCCGTTGAAAAATTTAAATTTCCCATAAGAGCTTGTTCTGGATGGTAGTCTGCCACTGGGGACTAGTGGTGCTGAGGAGCTTCAGAACAACTCTCTTTCTGGGAAATTCAGTGAGGTCTAGTTGAAAATATTCCACAAGGATGCTTTGTAACAATCAGTGAGGAGGAGGAATGCAAATTAATGGGAAACATACTCGCAAAATGTGTGTTTGTATGTCAGAGAACTGTTTGGTCCCTGCTCACTGACCTGGGTCTTTGCTAGCTTGTGAATGCTATTGAGAGAGTCATCTACAAATTTCCAGAACTTGGACGAAGAGTAAACGGCACAGTGTCCTTTGCCTTTGAATCCTGAGCTTCCCTCACTGACAGCTGGTAGATCTTCTTTGTCCTGGTACTCATCCTCTGCTCCTTTGTCCCTGGCATTCTTGTCCTCGTCATCTTGATGGCTGCTACCATTGCCACTATTGTCAGTATTCTCTGTATCATGCATCGGCTGATCTTTATCTAAGTAGCCTTTGATGTCAGCAGCAGGAGCATCAGGCTCAATGTCTTGATTGATGTCGCCATGCATCCTGCGTTTGATAGCATCAATATCAATTCTGAGTTTCTGGTTGATTTTGACATGGAGGTCTTTGTGAAGTGACAAAATGAGTGAGTTGGAAAAAAGAGTGTTGAAGGGTACAGTCTTGTAGTCGTCCACACCGATAAGGAAAATGCACAAGCAGCACTGCTAGACTACATGGTATGAACCTCCTGTTGTCAAATAGAGCAAGGGCGTACCAAAAATGCAAACCTATTCCAGTGCATGGAATTGACCTCAATGCCACAGTGATGAGCGAGAGATTTTGCAGTCTCCATGATAAACAATCGTTTGAAAATTGACGTTGTCAGCTAAGCAAGTGTATATCATAAAGTGTTTGCATAGCAGTAGCAAAACTTGACAAACCTTAGCCTTTATGTTGCTGCGGATTGAGCAAAGCAAGTTGCTGACCAGTTTCAACAGTTGTGCGTTAAGTTCTGCATCTTCCAACATTGGCTGCAGGGATTTTGAATACATTGTGGTGCTCCCTGATGAAGTCCTGTTGAATTTCAGCATTTAACTAACATAGCGATCAACTTAGAGAATACCATGATGTGACAATGTGCATCAGTGACATATGCAGTGATATTGGGTGACAGCATGCACACAATGAGATGGTTCTGGATTCCAGACTGTGTTTTGTTTGATCAGTGTATACTGCCAAACTTTGGGGATAGATACAGTATACCTTGAAGTCCTTAGAATCTAGCAGTTCTTTCAACTGAGCGAGCTCCACGTTCTGGGTATCATCATTCCGCCTCAACAAGGTGGCCTTGATGTCAATGATCATGTAGTATATCCCTCCGGTCTGCAGGCAGGTAGCTGTATCAAAGAGTTGTGAAGCACTAAAGGAAAACTTATGTCAATAAATTCATGAAGTTCGTCCTCTGAGATACCTAAGTCTGCAGTGACCTTCAATGCATAAACTTTCAGTCTCTTTGTGTGCACAGGTATAAGGACAGTTGGGTTGCCACGACTAGGACTTGAATCAGCTTGGCGGCGGCGTACACCTGCAATAATAGGTTCATCGAGCGATTCATCAGACATTGCAGATTGTAAATTGTCGTGAGGGCAAGATGTGCTAACAGCAGTCTGTGACTGAGAACCTGTACCATTGCTGAGTGATCTAGATGTGTGGGCAAGTCCTAAGGGTGAGCATGCACGTCCTATACTGCCTGCTCTTGCAGCAGGAGTTTGAGATCCACTATGAGCACTTTGAATGGAAGCTGAACAATTCCTGCCTCTGAGACCTCTGGCAGCATCTGGTGTTAATAGACCAAGACTTGTTGAGCCTTTGGTCTGTGGAGCGCCTTGAGTGTGCACAGGAAAGAACTGGAGTAACATCCTGAAAGCTGAGTAAAGGGCGAATCCAAGAGAATCAGTCTGGCTCTGAGACCTGAGTGGGTGTTCTGCATGAATGCCAACAGAAAATAAAAGCTTATTAAGGACACACTTAAGCGATAAGCATTCACATGTTTCACATGAGGCTTGATTTGGATCACAAAAGTGCATTGAATGGGAGCATGTAAATTAAAGACTGTATGCTATATGTAAAGTAGAGGTCTTATTTGAACATGTTGTCGTGAAACGTGATTCATGTCAGAACTGCGCATATACAGTCAGACTAATACATAGTGCACCCTGAAAAACAGGTGAGCAGTGGGTTTCTGGAATAATGGTAGCTTGATCCCAGCAAGATTTCTTAGGTGTCTCACTGGCAGCCGCACTTTGACTAAAGTCGCATTCCAGCGGGAACAAGAGCCTGAGTGATGGAGTAGAGTGTTATGTAGCATAAGGTGCAGGTGAGAAGGGGGCGATAGAGGACAGATGGGAGTAATGCTGGGGTGGTTGAGGCCTGCAGTGACTAGGTCCTGCCAGTGGGAATCTATTAGGCGGTAATGTATGGTGAAAATGAGGTATGGGCGGTGGATGTGAAAATGTTTGATGGCCTGGATGCCAGGTAATTGGAGCTGATGGGAATGAAGGAACATGTAATTGGGGTGGAGGCAAGTGTGATTGAGTGGCAGGAAGGTGCAGTTGAAGCGGAAGGTAATATGACATCTGTGGAGAAATGTGTGGTTGGTCTGAGCGTGAAACTTGAATCAATGAGTGAGGTGGTGGGATGTATGATTGAGGCACAAGACAGTGTGAAAACTGAGGAGGAATATACATCAGCTGGGCTGAGGAAGGTCCCGCTTGCGGCGCAAAATGTTGCTGATCCACAGCAGCAGCATATGGTGCATTTCCCTGCAGAGGTGATGCTGGTCCAGGGGGGGGGAGGAACTGCTTGACTAGTGCGTGATGGGGCAGTCTTCTTTTTTCCTCACACACTGGAACTGCTGACCTTCACCTTTGGTTTGGCACCAGTCTTCATGGCAGGAGCACAATCAAAGACTGCACAGGGCGCTGGGACATTGTCAATATGACCACCCTCTCCTTGTTGAGGTACATCTCTGGACTTTTTGGCTGCTCCCTTCTCCTGCATTTGCCATACTGCCAATGCTTGAACTTCGGCCACATTGGTGACTCTCAGCAGTGTCTTGCAAAGGGTATCAGATGTATGTAGTCGTAGTTATGAATAGAGTACACATTAAGAATGTAGTGTGGTGTTGGCTTGTGTTGAATGATGCACCTTGAGTGAGATGTTAGGGTCCATTCTTGATATACAGGTTGCTGACCAGTGTTGGTGCAACCAAAATCAATGCAGTTATGCTGGATATTGATGGAACACATGATATTCTGCAAGATGACACCCATAAGATGTGAAGCTGACTTGGAAGACAATGATAACTTATGGCGGCAAACAAAACTACTTTATCATTAGTAAGATCTAGACATGGAAGATGAAGAGACAGGTGCAACGTCTCTGTAAAGGAAAAGCACTGGAGAGCGACATGTTCTACCTTTAGATAGTCGCTGGACGATATGAGAATTTCCCAGATATGTCCAATGTACATCTGAACATATTGTCAGATATCTATCTTGAAAGTCCAAGAAAACAACCTGCCTTTCCATCTGCTGGCTGTTGAACGATAGCTTCATTGTTGAGGTACACATTTTCTCCTGTACTCATCACAATACATTTACCTTGGTAGTACTCAATGCATGGGTCACATGGAGTGGTTTTGGGAATATTCGCGCAACATGTATCCTTCCAGGGAACTGCGTCCTTCCAGACTGTCTTTCTGGACTTTCCAGTCACTGTTTCAACTGTTCCTGGCCCTATATGCAAATGAGTCATGAAACAATGAAATGTATGACATTGCTTACCTGATATTGGAACACTGTGACCAAAGTTCGATAACCCCAGTAGCCGTGCTTGTTCGGGGTGCTCATCAAGATAACTTAGGACTTGGATGCCTGTGCAAACCCATTTCTTGATCTCGCCATTGTACCAGTAGCCACCTGTCGCAACATGCTTGATAATGTCCTGGTGAGCAAACACTTTGCAGGTGTCTCGGCTCAGTGCTTGGCGATGTCTTAAAATAACTGAGGGTCTTATATAAAGTTGTGTAAATGTAATGACACCACAATTACACTTTGGATAAGACTGCTTGCCAGTCCTCGATTAACACGGTCTACGACTTTTCCTATTTCGTGGTAGATAATGTGTGAGTTCTTGGGAGGCTTGCTAAACTAATCTTTTTATAAAGATCAACCTAGCTGGAGCTTTACTTTTCTTTATCGAAACTCAAATCTCTTGTCTAGGAATAAGCTTCTAGACACGTAATTTGGTTTCTGGGACGTATCTGCCTAGGAAATCTCCTTCTAGGCTCTGGGCTTGGTTACTGGGACTAGTGAAACGTGGTCTCAAATATACGAAATATGACCAAGATCACTTGGTCTATGGACACTTGACTGTGAGACAATGGTCTCAAATATATGATATATGTTCAAGATCGCTTGAACAAAGGGGACTATAACTTGACCAAGATCGCTTGGTCTATGAGACTACTAGTGAGATGTGGTCTCAACAATATGATAGATGACTAAGATTGCTTAGTCAAAGGGCACAGAGCAATGAGACAAAGGGGGTCTCAAAGACAATATATGTGACCAAAAATGCTTGGTCTATAGTATTAAATAAGTTTCTAAGGTAAGAAACTTATAATCTCAAGGGAATTCTTTTCCCTGCACTTGTCTCACTTCAAAGGGACTAACTTTGCAAGTGAAATATCTGATAGGCAGATTGCTACAAATGGGAGATCATATATATATATTTTGGAGGAGAATGGGCTCTCCTTATATACATTTTGTGTGGGAAAGTAACCTAGGTTCACAAACAATAAAAAATAAGGAGGACCAATCAAAATATTGGGTCAAACCCAATAAAAAAATAAAATACAAGTGAGAGATGGAGCTATGACATCATTGTGGAGCAGAACATTCTGGAATGTGGAGTAATGACATCATAATGACATCAAGAGTGACATCATTGTGGAGCAAAAGATTCCAGAACCTTCCATGAGTGAGTCAGAGTGAGTCATTGTGGAGCAGAATATTCTAGAAGGAAATGACATCATGAATGATGTCATTGTAGAGTAGAATAATCTAGAGCTTGATGACATAATATCTTTCAACAGAATACCTGCAGGAGTACCTGTGGAGTCTTATGACATCATAATGACATCATACTCTATGGGTACAATTTTTATGAAGTGTCAGGTGAGTCAAAGCATCCTAATGAAAAAGTAAAGTAAAGAAACACTAGAGAAAAGTAGGTAGCAAAAATAAGACAGTTGGCAGGAATTGAAACATGGTCTTTTTGAATAGGTTTTTTATAGGCTTTGTACTTTTCTCTATGGTTTTCTCTAGCCAAAGTGAATAAGCCAAAGGCAAGGCTATACCTTAACCTTCATTTCTCTTCTCACATCAACTAGGTCTAAATGTGATTCCCATCTCACATTAGACTTTTTCCGTCAAAACATATTCAGATTGTGAAACTTGGGGAAAACTGGAAATATGGACCATGGTTTGAAACCAAGGTATGGGTTGACTAGTCTGAGGACTAAGCTAACAGACTTTATCTTTTGAGGGTCACCTAGTATTCATGTCCATGCATGATTCCCACATCATGCAGGACAGTGATTGCTATACATGCAAGATAGGCGGAAAACATGGTTAAAAGACTCATATCGTTCTGTCGAGAAGATGATTGCTGGCTCAAAACGTCAAATGTAGGCTGGGAGATGGATGAGAAAATGGAATTTAGGTTTGCTAATTAGGATGCTCGGCGCACACTGTGCCGTCACATTCAGAAAGTCCTGAATTGTTCGTGTTAACTTGCCTATCAAAAAGATGACTAGAAAGAGCAGGTACATGATATAAGGACTCACGAGATAAGTTTCACTGTTTTCTATCTTCGTATGCCAGATGAGGACAATGAGTTCACCCATAACTATCCAACCATTGAGGACCATTGGTGGGACAAGGTCGTAAATGAGGAATGGCATTACTTGCGCCAGACTCTTGAAATGCTTGCCGATCAAGCTGCCTTTGTAGTGGCAGATGTAGTCGGCATTGAGGCAAGGAGCATTTAGCGCATCCTTGTTGATGGTCTCGAGGCGGTTCTGGAAGAGATGCAGAAGCCTAGATTTCTCGAGGAGAAACACTGTCTGCCCCCAGAAGTATTTAACAATGCCAAGCAGTACTGTATGGAGAATTTCAGTTGGCATATCCATGTGAACATTGAATGCTGTTGTGAACATGAATGCAAGATCTACGTCATTTTCAAAAAGACTCACCATGCATTCCCAGTAAGGGATTGATAGCATCATCAAGCCTTCTGCCTTGCAAGAGCTGCTCAAACTCTTTCTCGAGCACGATTCTAACTTCATTTTCAGGTAGTGCTGGAGAACCTGCTATGTGTTTCCTAAGTTTTTTGCCAAGCTCCAGCAGTGTGTTGAGAATGGAGGCTGAAGCCGTATCATGAATACCAGTTGACAACATAGAATTCTTCACCTTCTCCGAGACACCTGAAAGTATCGCAGTCTCGAATTGCTGTCAGATTATGTTCGAAGTCTCCTCCAGTGTTCGGATATTGCCTGACTACAAACACAAAATCAGCAATTGTAAAACACGAAACAGACTTACAAACATTGAAGATGCTGTTATATCCAGCCTTGGATTCTTTATATTCCTTCATGCCACCAACCTCACACGTCCTGCAATAATAATTACAATTCAGCCCCGCATGGCTGCACTCTTCGGCCTGCATGGGATTGTCACCAGTGATGAACAACACATATGGAATAAGCATGACTTCTTGATTGTCCTTGCAGTCCCATACAACAATGCCAGATTCGGCTGTGACACTACAAATCACAACTACCGACTGAGTATAAGCTAGACAACAAAAAGGATGCACATACCAGATAGACTCTTTCATTGCTCGCATGAGCTCCATTGGTGCAGCATGAGGCGATGATGTGACAAATCGTACAAAAAACTCTTTCTTGAGCATCTTGCATGGCAAGTTGGCATTGGACATATAAATGGTGTGATGCTTATTCCACTGCTTCGACACATTGCCCGACACGTCATCCATGAAAATAATGAGCAGGACAGCATATACCATTCAACCATTGGACTTCTCGTGCAACGGATTGGGTGTAAGCGATGCAAATTTAGCTGAAGAAGCTGTTTTGTGATTAAGTCCTGCAGTCACCACCGGTAGAATTGAGATAGAACATACCTGTGAGGCCACATTCAAGCTCACTGGATGTTGCAGCAATATCTTTGAATGATTGCACAAACACCGAAGTAGGTAGAATCTCTTGTGTTTGTCATTGACAATGAATCCAGCCTAATTTATGTGCCAGTGATCAGCACAAAGTCATAAGTTTAGTATCAAATAACATATGTCAGCCCATTGAACAGCTTGACCAAGGGTGTACTGAATTTTCGCATCTGACTGAGCTCCAGGTTCAACTTCATTAGCAGAAGGACACAAAAGAAGCACTCTGGGATAAAGTATGCCTTAGATGATTCTTGCAGTAGCTTGTTGACAAAATATATCGTGCCATCAACCCGAACTGCTGGCGGTGATGGAAGATCAAGTAGCATCCTCATGCCATTAAACACCTGTGACATTCCATCGCCTCCATCTTCAGGGTAATCTTGCATCATGAATTATGTGAGCGGGTTTACATAGTCCTGAGATATCATGTCAGTATCATATACACCTAGGTAACATAGCAGACAAACCCTAGCAATTGATTCTGCAATATTGTTGATGTAAAAGATGTCCCCCAAGCGACCCGAGACCTTCTCAGTTGGATCACCAATGAGACGGTTGATGTGTTTCTGGACTTTCTTGACAGCACCAAATGAGGGAACATCCTGAGCACCGAGCTCTCTAGCTCAATTGATGATGGCCTTTTTCTGTCCATCAGAAAATGGGTGGCAGGGAGAACTAAAAAGAAGCGACACTATAAAGTTCTTGATGCTATGAGCATCAAGTTTGCAACTTGTATGGAGAAAAAACTCACTGTTTTGGACGTCCATGGGTATGTTGGACTATCTTGAGAGGCAATAACATAGGAGCCTGTTGTATCATACTTGCATCATTTGTGAACTTTGTTAAGTGCATTGTTATAGAGCATGGATCAAATATCACACTCACCGGTGTAGCGATGGTCGCGGCATTGGGCTCAAAACCACATATTTCCATACTCGCGCCAACACCCGAAACATATGTGCACATGTCCGACGCATGTCCGAGCCACTCCGTATCGGATCCGGTGCATCGGACCTTCAGACATCACATTGGCCAATCGCACTTCGTGCGCACTTGTCCATCCCGTGTCCTGTCCATCTGAACTAGCCTCACTAGGTGCGTAGTTATTTTTGTGCACATTTTCTGACATTTGTACCATGTTATTACATGTCCACAGCACCTCGTGTCTTATTACATAGGACATCGGTCCCGAAATATATCACTACTATCTTCACCTGTAGTTTTCCGAATTTCTATGTACTTACTTAAATACTCTGTAGTGACCCGTAGCAATCATCATCCAGTAGTTAGGGGCCATTTCCCGACTCTGCGGATCACCCAGAATATTCTCGTAGTTTTTAGTTGCATTGCGAAATATTACCATTCGTTCACCATCATACTCCGTCACTCGTTATACTCGTGCATACCGCTCGCAACCCGACACTTGTTATAAAGTTTCCAACTCATTATTGTGAAGTCCGAAAGTCCGAAATCTCGGACATCGCACTTTGGCTTCAGACATTGGATAAGTACCTTCAGACATCATCGGATTACCTTCAGACATCGTTTCGCACCATCGGACATTTTGTTATTTGCATTACTGACACATTTTTACTACTAATACCAATTAGCAACCCCTATAGGATCGAACGCACTTGCTCTGCAAGTATAGCAGACTAGGTCGTGCTAAGATCTACCTAAATAATTGTTGTCTAGGTAGTACAATTTCTGCTGAGCCCAGCAGAGATCAGCTTTCTACAACTGGAGCCCACCGTGAGGGGTTCTTTTGGTTTAGTTTGATTTTTATTATCTAGGTCTTCCGCCATTCCCAACACCCCAATCCCGATCCCAACACCCCGATTTTCGGACCCAACACACCCGATGATTTCATATTTTGACTACAGAATATTCCTGCACTATGAACACAATCAGAAACCTGCTCAATATGCCAATATCCAGTTCCGGATCAGCCCCACATTTTTCAGGTAACCCCTATGAAGTCTTAAAATTCCTGAAGACAGTAGATCAGCTCGGACAAAGTGCCGATTTACCCGAAAAATTTCGGATCAGGTTTGCTTTGAAATATACAGACATTGACGAAAGAGAACTATGGCAGATGTGCGATGAATGCACTGGTAACAGTTACAAATATTTTGCTAACACAATTTTGAACTTGTACCCAGAATTAGGTATGGACTGACGATATGTCCAACCCGACAGTCCGACCCCGACGAGTATGCCCGATCCGACACCCGAAAATTCGCAACCTGAAGTCTCCGACACCACAACCATCTCCAAACCTCAAGACCAACCCGAATTAGTATTAGAAATAGTATATCAGCCAACAGTTCCCGACACCCCGACGATCCGACCCGAAATACCCGAAATTTCGGACATTATCATCGGACACTCCAAATATAATTCGGACAACTCGGAAATATTCGCAGAAACTATTGATACTAATGCACTGACACCCGAAACACAGAGTATTGAGCTAAAGCCCCTAGGATGCAAAATACCCGAAAATTTCGGACCAGAAAATTCGGACATAGGAGATATCGGAACATCAGATTATGAACTCGGACAGGCAGTATACCACTCGGGTACCACTGACAATTTCATTCTTGCAGCAATCACCGTGTTTGCATTCACAAGTTTTGTTGATTTTTATAGGACCTTGCCATATCAGTCAGAACACCATCAGTCACCTTCCGAAACCATGGAAAGACCTCCCCGAAGCACTCCGAAGATACCCAATGCATATCCGAAAACTTGTACCATAGTTTTACCTGTCCGAAATTCGTTATACCAGCCCTGAAAATTGAAGTACAAACATTCCGTCAAACACGCCCACCAGTATCGCCGACCCTCACACTCTTGGATCGCATTTGACATGTACGAAAGCCGACGAAGATCAGAGATTAGGAAGAAATTATAGTCTGACACCCGAAAATTCGGACATATAGATATGATATATCGCACATATGGTATCACTTGTTTTACCCTGGGATTAGGCCAGAGACTTATCGCACATAACCCCACTCACTCGCAACATCGGACTAGCATATTGGACAAATTTCGGACACAGTTTCAGACACATTTTCGGACTATCAGACATTGTGCAAACTCACCCGATTATTTAGCATTTTTCCTTCACACCACAGAATCGCACCTGCACCATTATTTAATTAGAAATTCGGACAAACGGGCAACAAGAAACAGAAGAAGACCAGAAGTTGCATGAAGAAAACAAGTCAGATGGTACTCTGCAACTGGTATTATTTTGATATCCGAAATTTCGTGTTTTCGCCCCACTTACGATTATTTTTTTCTTGTTTTTTTTAGGCACCCTAGTGGGGGACATATAGAGCGAACTTGCGACACAGACATAGGGACAAATGGACATTTTCGGACTTCGGACATTCAGAACATTGGACCTTTGGACATCGCATCAGAAGCTCAGACATTGCACAGTTCACACCCTCGCCGATGAAGACAGAGATAGACTGTGCAGAGAAGTTGTGAAAAGATGATAGAACATTGACAGACGCATACCAGCACATTTTCGGACATGCACTCAGAAAGTTCCCACGCATCGGACCACCTTCGGACACCCTCGCACATCATCGCATCAGCTTCCCTATGCTTGAGATACCTCGCATTTTCGAATCATTGTTGTACGTGTCACGACATTCCGAAACAATCACACATCTCTGCTAGCAAACCCGATTTTCCCGCGCATCGGCCGCAGACTTCGGACATTTGGAAACATCGGACTCGACAATCTGACACTCGGACATTTGAGTAATTCATGCCCGTCGCATTCACGCTGATGAAGACAGAGATATAGCATGCAGAGAAGTTGGAAAAAGATGACAGAATGTGAGCCGACACATTTTCGGACATATGTCCAGAAATTCCCGTGCATCGGACCCAACGCAATACCTTCAGACATCATTGCATATCATTGCATCACTTCCCCTATCACCTCGCATTTTATCGGATCCATTTTACTGGCAGAACCGCACACCTCCGACCTTCAATCTGATATCCCAGCTCATTGATGATATTGTGACTGAGGACAGTCAATATTTAAAGCTCCTAGGAGATGTAATGATGGTCGCGGCGCTGGGCTCAGAACCAGCTATTTTGATACTGATGTCAAACAGTATTTGTCTGATGCACTTCCGACTACCCTGACCCGAGTCCGACAGTCCAATCCCGACCCGACGCACTTTCCGACAGTCCGACGCATGTCCAATTCCAACCCGACATTCCCGTGCATTGGACCAGTCCTCCCTATGTCCTGTCCAGTCGCATCTATCCCCACTAGGTGCGCATTTACTCCTTTTGACTTGCTAAGCATTGTATACAGCATTATTACATGTTTTCTCATGGTCCGCAGTACCACATGTCCTATTACATAGGATTTCGGACCCAAAATATCGCTACTACTCTCGCCTATAGCAGCCCAAATTTCTACATAGTCACTATTTAATATCTAGTACTTCCTACCTATTGCATTACTTACTTTTCCCTACTCAGTAGTAGGATGGAAGTCATTGGATATTAGTAGTACTTTATTGTATTGTGAAATATCTATCCGCTCTTTTCCTCTGAAACATTCCGACACATCCAACATTCATTTGACCGACAATCCAACACACTTCTGACACATTCCTTTATCGTCCGACGCATTCCTGACAGTCTGACGCCCGACCCGACTCCGATAATTTCAGACCCAACAATTTCCCTTCGGACAAGTAGTTCTTAGCTTCAGATTATCTTCCTACTATTGATAACTAACTATCAAGACTAATACCAAACAGATACCCCTATAGGATCGAACGCACTTGCTCTGCAAGTATAGCAGACTAGGTTGTGCTAAGATCTACCTAAATAATTGTCGTCTAGGTAGTACAATTTCTGCTGAGCCCAGCGGAGATCAGCTTTCTACACCGGGAACTTCAATGCCAAAATCAGGCGTACAATCGTTGAAGAGCTCACGCTCGTCATTTATGGGGGCAAGAGGCATTGAGAAAGGAATTTCCCCACAGGTAAGACTTGCTTGGAGCTCAGCAAATAGGTCCAGATGCACTCTGTCGAACTTGGGTGTCCAATCACCTGCGATATGATTCAAAAGCTCAGATAGTGGGACCTCCATGTCTACATCAGGCATGTCTACATCCATGTATGGGTTGTTGGAATCGTGGGGAGACACAGTGGGTCTGGTGTTTGTTGAGGTGAAGATGGGTGCCCCAGCTTTCTTAGGTTGCGAATTCTCAAGTTGCGGTATGGGAGTAGTGGCCTGTTGTTTCTTGACAAACCTTTCAGAGAACCATTGATGCCTGCTCTGGGCGATGTGCTTTTCAACATGTCGGATGGCCATTGTACGCAAGACACCTGCTTTACGAGGGCACACTGTGCAAACAACATGTTTGCCCCCATCCTCGCAATATTGTATGACTGTAAATAAAAAGCGGTGAAATATAAACAACCATTTAAATAACAGAGCAACAAAAACATACTATCACTGTCAACAAATTTATTGTTCATGATGGGATGTGCAGGGCAAGTCAATTGAGTGGCTGGAGGGTTGATTGAGGCTTTGGCAGTAGTACCTATCAAGCACTATAAAAAACAATGATACTGTGAGTGCTTCTATAGTAGGAGTGAGGAAAGATGGAGGAAAATGAAGTTTTTCATATGAGGTGGCAAATTGATCGTAATATGAGTCATTTGCAGCATGAAAAAAAGGTTAAAATGGGAGGGAAGTGAAATGACTCACCAGTTATCAGTAACATTGTACACAACAATGATACTGTGAGCACCTCTATAGTATGAGGCTGCAAATTTTTTGTCAGATGAGTCATTCATAGGGAAAGGAGGGTGAAATGTAAGGAAAGTGAAATGACTTGCCTGTTATCAGTCACGTTGTACACAACAATGATACTGTGAGTGTCTCTATAACAGGAGGATGTTATGGTGCAGAACCGCCCCTGGTTGTGATTTGCAAATTAGCTCTGCTTTAATGATAAAAATTATGGGACTCACAAATGAGATGAGTCAATGGCTTGCAGGAGTCTGAGGACGATGATGTCGCAGAATGACTTGAAGTTGTTGAGCCAACTTGGTCACGTGCTTTGCAATATTGATTCTGAACGACAAGTCCAAAGTCTCACAATGGCTCACTTTCTCAGACTTCAGGCTCCAACATTTCACCATGGATCCGGTGTCCTGCATGATGTGGGAATCATGCATGGACATGAATACTAGGTGACCCTCAAAAGATAAAGTCTGCTAGCTTAGTCCTCAGACTAGTCAACCCATACCTTGGTTTCAAACCATGGTCCATATTTCCAGTTTTCCCCAAGTTTCATGATCTGAATACGTTTTGACGGAAAAAGTCTAATGTGAGATGGGAATCACATTTAGACCTAGTTGATGTGAGAAGAGAAATGAAGGTTAAGGTATAGCCTTGCCTTTGGCTTATTCACTTTGGCTAGAGAAAACCATAGAGAAAAGTACAAAGCCTATAAAAAACCTATCCAAATAGACCATGTTTCAATTCCTGCCAACTGTCTTATTTTTGCTACCTACTTTTCTCTAGTGTTTCTTTACTTTACTTTTTCATTAGGATGCTTTGACTCACCTGACACTTCATAAAATTGTACCCATAGGGTATGATGTCATTATGATGTCATAAGACTCCACAGGTACTCCTGCAGGTATTCTGTTGAAAGATATTATGTCATCAAGCTCTAGATTATTCTACTCTACAATGACATCATTCATGATGTCATTTCCTTCTAGAATATTCTGCTCCACAATGACTCACTCTGACTCACTCATGGAAGGTTCTGGAATCTTTTGCTCCACAATGATGTCACTCTTGATGTCATTATGATGTCATTACTCCACATTCCAGAATGTTCTGCTCCACAATGATGTCATAGCTCCATCTCTCACTTGTATTTTATTTTTTATTGGGTTTGACCCAATATTTTGATTGGTCCTCCTTATTTTTTATTGTTTGTGAACCTAGGTTACTTTCCCACACAAAATGTATATAAGGAGAGCCCATTCTCCTCCAAAATATATATATATGATCTCCCATTTGTAGCAATCTGCCTATCAGATATTTCACTTGCAAAGTTAGTCCCTTTGAAGTGAGACAAGTGCAGGGAAAAGAATTCCCTTGAGATTATAAGTTTCTTACCTTAGAAACTTATTTAATACTATAGACCAAGCATTTTTGGTCACATATATTGTCTTTGAGACCCCCTTTGTCTCATTGCTCTGTGCCCTTTGACTAAGCAATCTTAGTCATCTATCATATTGTTGAGACCACATCTCACTAGTAGTCTCATAGACCAAGCGATCTTGGTCAAGTTATAGTCCCCTTTGTTCAAGCGATCTTGAACATATATCATATATTTGAGACCATTGTCTCACAGTCAAGTGTCCATAGACCAAGTGATCTTGGTCATATTTCGTATATTTGAGACCACGTTTCACTAGTCCCAGTAACCAAGCCCAGAGCCTAGAAGGAGATTTCCTAGGCAGATACGTCCCAGAAACCAAATTACGTGTCTAGAAGCTTATTCCTAGACAAGAGATTTGAGTTTCGATAAAGAAAAGTAAAGCTCCAGCTAGGTTGATCTTTATAAAAAGATTAGTTTAGCAAGCCTCCCAAGAACTCACACATTATCTACCACGAAATAGGAAAAGTCGTAGACCGTGTTAATCGAGGACTGGCAAGCAGTCTTATCCAAAGTGTAATTGTGGTGTCATTACATTTACACAACTTTATATAAGACCCTTGGTTATTAAGACACCGGGAACACTCACTAACAGTTCTATCGTCTATCCCAACATACAACATGAAGAGACTGGCTGCATATCACTGCAACCACTAATTCTCACAATCTGTTTTTCAGGCATGCTACCAGAGAGTCTTCTACAAGAAAACATTGTGAGTCATTGTTTGATTGAAAACAAACTCAATCTTCACAATTATCTGTTGCAGCCTATTCAAATATCAGTATCTATTGATGAGGAGTATGGGGTATTGACCACTCCAGTCGTAAATGCTGTCTCAATGGATGTGAGGGATTCTGATAGTTGGCAAGCGGATTCGCTACCCTCAGTGATGTGAGTCCATGTTCTGTCACAAACACGAAGTACTTACATCATGATGCAGCTGTATTTATTTCAAGATATAGCTGATCACAGTGTTGCTCCCTCTCCGGATGATAGCATTCTATTTCTCCCACTTCCACCAGCATTTGACTCCCGTAATCAAGAAAATTGGGCATCATTGTTGAAGGAGATTGAGACATGGCTGGTATTGGAAGTGGATCCAGAGTCACCATTGTGGACTTGGGGACGTGATGCCTTTTGGCTAGCATTTATTGGTGCATATCCATACTTCCCGAGAGACAGATGGCCGATGTGGGATTCTCGAGTACCATTGCAAGGTACATTCATTGAAGCATGGTTAGATCAGTCGAGTGGTGCTGAGGCAAATTGGATTGGAGTATGAGGCATCAATGAAGTACTTGATCATGTTTGGACTGAGTTCTGCATGCATACGGCCCTCTTCTATCCCAGTCCCCTTATTTCTTCTGACTTCCTTCAGGACAATCAAGCTTGCACTTCACATGTTTCAGTATGTTAAAATACCTATACCACAAAACTTGTCATTTTCGTTAGTGTCTATTGTTGTATATAGGTGTACTAATATTATGTGCTTGGACTGTTACCATGAACTGGCAAACCGCTGGAAGGCCTGCAGCGATATCCAGATCACTGATAGTCGAGAGTTGATGACATGCAGATTAGCGGCGGTCAGTAGACTGTCATAGGAGTAAACAGATAGGTCGGAGTCAGTGCCCAGCATCAGTGTCATATACATACAACCTCTCTCAGATGTCTCCGCTTCTGATCTTTACCATAGGTTTCCATCTGATATGGCAAAAAAATTATTCATGTGGCCTCACGTCGAGCCCCAATGCAGGCCCAGGTGACCTATTTTCTATTTTTGCTAGACATCAGATCAAATGTGCTGACACAACCTCTTTTTGTTAGCTTTACTTTATAAATGTGCTATTTACCTACAAAAGCTTTATTATAGTCAAGATCCAGCTTGTAGTTAGGTTGCTTAAATAATTTTCACACTATATCTGTTCGGCCAAAAGTGGCAGTTGGTGGTATACTCCCAAGGTTGTTCCTCTGCAGAGATAACATTCAAATACCATGCATTGTCCTTGTATTCTCGATGAAGTATTTTTCCATGCATAGCCTGATCAACTCCTATAGCATGATGGTGCAGTGCAATCACTTCGGGTAACCAGAAGTTTGCAGCCGAAGATCTGAAAGCGGGCTGCCAGCCAGGCTGATCTCATCTCCTTGCTCATCCAAAATATTCATGATCATTATCTGCACATTCTAGTGACAAGTCACTCAGAATTTTATATCCATGAAGTCATGCACCTGCTTGTGCATAACACCCCAGTGAATGTATCTGGTAAGGGATTGCTGCCACCTAGGCTATCTTACTAGACAGTACAGATGCCGACGAAAATTTATATCATTTCTTGTGGTATTCTTCTAGAAAGCTGTGAAGTAGTTGTTCCATTTTCCTATAGCCAACGAAGGGTCAACTCGATGGCCAACCAAGTGGGCAGACATTTCATCAATGATCGGCATGTACATGTACATGCAGATCTATGAGAACTGTGATCACCTGCTCCTGGCAGTATTATGGATAATCAACTCTCATTAGAGACAACTGGTTATGCTTCCTTGTCATGATTTTTTGATGATATCCTTCATTATCCATTATACATAACCTTATTCTCACTGCCCCAGAGAATCATTTACAGAAGTTTTGGTATTTGCCAGCTTACAAATAATATGTGGCAGCAATTTTGGCTTCCAATCTCCCATCTGGCTCAATTCCTCATGTCAGGACTTCCCACAATATTGCCACACCACATTTTTGACCACACAGTGTGGGAATTACCCCACAACACCCAAAACATTGCCCATTTTGGGACTCTCCACAATATCAATTATTCCCACACCCTTCCCACCTCACTGCAGCTTTACCACTACACCACAATAGGTCCCCTTTCATATATAAGTAGTATTTTGGTATATAATATAATAGACCACTTTTTTGCTCATTTGTGTGCCTGCTCCTCCTCCAAGAGCCATTCAACATATGGTAGGGGATAGAACACTTTCACACTTTTGCCCCTTTGGCATTAAGGTGTTCTAGGATAGTCAGAACATGCTTATGATCATATATGAATAGATTCACATCTTTATTTGACCCCCTGAAGCACCCTACATCAACAGGTACAGTGCATATATGGGAAAACACAAAATAGGTTCGCATTTTTTGGTTTCTAGCTATATGAGCTTGCAAAATTGTCCCCAACATCTCTTCAATAGTATGAAGAATGTATCATGAGCTCAGGACCATAGGGAAAGATCTTGTTGTGTAGTGCATTCACCCCCTCCTGGTGGTTTACCCCCTGTGAAAATTTTTCCTGTAGGACCGGACCTTAATTAAGGTAGGGTGTCTATTTCTATGTATATTTGGAGTAGATGTATCATATAGCTAGCCCAGTACACACATAGGATCTCTCTACAGGAGCAAAAAAAAATAGAAAATCACATTTGTGACATTTTTGATATTTTTCAGTGTCTTACCCTTGCAACCATGATTCCACCTGTTCATATATTATTACAATAGTATATATATTGACTTTTGTCACCAAGATCAGCCCAAAGTAGGCCAGAGATTGAAGCTAGGCTATATGTTTGTCATTTCTACTGATAAGTAGACTATAACTTCAAAACATTGAAATTTAATAATCAGAATCCTGGAGCACAATTCACATATATTAAGTATCATATATCTAAAGTTACACATCCCTTCTACCCACCTCTATCCTCAGGGCAGTCTGTAGTATAAGTTCTTTGTGTAGTTTACCATCAATTCTACATATTTTTAATGAAATCTTTGACCTGCATCAGCTATAAATATAACTTTGTGTAAAAAATAGCAATTGTCACTTTTCACACATATGTTATTTTGTCTGTCATTCAGTCAATCATTCATGGATCTTGCTAAACATTTAATAATATCATGAGGGACATATATGAAAGGTATCCCAGGTCTCTGATCACTTATCATAGGCTGTATTAACATATAGGCCTCTAATCAGTAGAAAAGCCCCTTTACCTTATATCTCAAATCCCCATCCTATATTTAGCTGATCCTTAACATGAGACACATATTTGCATGTACTATTGATGATATATGAACAGGGTTGACCAGATGTGCAAGGGTAAGATACTTTAAAATATCAAAAATGTGATTTTCTATATTTTTGCTCCTGTAGAGAGATCCTATGTGTGTACTGGGCTAGCTATATGATACATCTACTCCAAATATACATAGACAAAGGGGCAAAAGTGCGAAAGTGTTCTATCCCCTACCATATGTTAAATGGCTCTTGGAGGAGGAGCAGGCACACAAATAAGCAAAAAAAGTGGTCTATTATATTATATTATACACATATATACCAAAATACTACTTATATATGAAAGGGGACCTATTGTGGTGTAGTGGTAAAGCTGCAGTGAGGTGGGAAGGGTGTGGGAATAATTGATATTGTGGAGAGTCCCAAAATGGGCAATGTTTTGGGTGTTGTGGGGTAATTCCCACGCTGTGTGGCCAAAAATGCGGTGTGGCAATATTTGATCAGATCTGGATCATGAAGAAGTGGTAAGGTGGGAGAAAACTGCTCCAGAATAGGTAGAACCATGCCATATTGAGGTGTCCTGATGTGTTATCTATCGTGGGAGCTGTAATGGATAACCTATCAAACCATCTAAAGTCCCAGACAAGGAAGCATAACCTGTTGTAGGTAGTCAGAGTTGGTTATGGTGAATATTGACAGTATAGCCTGCTGTGATCAGAATGGTAAGTACCGCAGCCTGAGAAGGGCTGATTGAGATGGAAGAGGAGGCAGGTATACTAGCCTGGGCTGCAGGTTGATTGATATCATTGATATTGACTCATTGATATCTGAATCACTTTCACATGAGATATAGTGACTGTGATGGTTTTGCCAAAGGTATTCAATATATTGTATGTGTGCGGATGTCCCATAGGGGCAGGATTACTATTTTGGCAAATGTTTTAGTATGTATACTGACATCCTCCATCTATAATTTACACTTAATGATTGATCACAGACGGCATCACCCCCAATGACACATTCCTCACTATTGCTCCACTTGCACCACAACCATCTACAATTGGTAGAGGGTGTGTGGGCTATGATGTGTTTGAGAGTCATTTTGGGTATGCATGAGAAGGGATTGGTGGTTTGTACGTCCTTCTTTCACAATAATTGTTATTTACATGAGGTGAATTATCGTTCACAGGACATTACTTCACTTGAAAACTTGGAATACTTCATTTAGCCTGGTCGCGTGCTTTCTCAACGCTTCGTACAATTCACTCTGTTACTCTGAAACATTTGTCTGCTAACCTCAAGAAGCTTTGCATCTCTGATGAACTGCAGGGCAGGGCCATTGGGTGAGATATTGCTGGAAAAAATAACATTTCTGAAGCAAATCCATAGCAGATCTCTACTGAGAACAATATTCTAGGGAACAACCTCCACATCGCTAGGTGGAAGAAGTATTTGGGTATTGACTTTCACAACTAAAATTTGAAATAAACACATAGTTGCAAGATGCCTGACATCGTGGAGCAGCATCAAACAATGAGCATACAATCCCCCCGCAAAGTCTACTTCAACCATCTTCAGCATCATCAGTCTCTATAAATGGTGCAGCTCATTCTAAATACTACACTCATTTAAGTGTTCAAATAAAATGAATAACACGATAGTGGTGGTGTTACGACTTGGATAGTATCTGTTGGCGACACTTGAACAGAGCAGAGCGTGTGTCGTTAATGGTCGAGGATGTCCTTGGGCTAGCCCAAGGTTAGGGGTCTTACTTGGTGAGGCTTCGGCAAGTAAGATTTAATGCCTATGTCCAAATTGGATAGCTTATGTCAAGCAGGGGCTCGACGATAAGCATATCTGCCAAGGCTTACGACACCTGAAGGTTAATCATAAGATCTGTGTTAACTAGAAGGACAGAAGTCTGACTAGTTAACAGGGACTTTGCTTGTCGACGAATTCGATGAGTAAAGATCGAGACTAGAGATTTATCCGCGATGAGCAGATAAGAGAGTAGAATATAGACAGCTGGCTAGGCTGAAGGAATCACTCTTGTTAAGAGTAGGAGGTCAAGAGCCAAGTATATTCAAGTTAAGGAACTAGATACATGGTAGCAAGTTTATATAGGGGAGAGGATGTGTATTAGTGGATGATAACTTGTACTACCAGAAAGGGAACTGGTCAAAGGGTGATACTAGAAAAGGAAGGCACATTTGAGGTGAGTCATGGGCGAACCGGAATGTGCAGATATAAAATGAGTCAAAGAGCGGAACAGGAGGTGAAATGTGCAGGGGCACGATCGTGCAACTGCGGAACTAAATATAAGTACACATGTGCGACTGCGCACCGAGTCATAGATCAAGAAAGAAAACAGGGTAAAGGGGATGCGGCATGCATTGTATCATAGGTTACCGTCCGGATGGTAAGGGCAAGGGGGATTGTCCTCAGGATCAGTCAGGGGGTGGAATGGAGCATGGGTATGCTTCGTCAGAGAAAGGGTCCGGCCAGATGTACTGGCTTTGCTGAAATGACAGGTAGAGAGTGAAGGAGAATGCGAGAATGATGAGGATAACAAGAGCAAGGTTGGGGTAAGGGTTTGATGCAAGGGCAGAGACAAGGAGGATAAGGAGAAAAATAGTAGGGGCCCAAGTGTCTAGATGTTCTTGTAACAGGTGGCAGAATGTGCATCAATAATCAACAGCTAAATAAAATTCGCGCAAATGCAATCATAGTGTCTCAACGGGCGACGCATGATCACGGACTCGTGAGATGTCGAACATGAGAGAAGGCCCACATCTTGTTGGAGGAGCATCATTAAAGCACTGTGAATGCATCGACGATACCGTGGGGTATGGACAATTGATAGAAGGTGGTGATGAACACAGGACCTTCATCGCCTGTGATTTAAACATCGAGAAATTCCTCACCCAAGGCATCATAAATCAAAGCTCACTCCAGTGGGATCATAAAGTTGTTCAGATTACATCATGGTGGACATATGTGGGTAAACCAGTGTTCAATGTTATGCAAAGTGCATACATTCAGCAGCAGTTTCAAATTTAATAATTTGGAGTCAGGTATGAAGTCACTGCAAAGAACCAATCAAAGAAGAGGACACGGACATCAAGCCTATGATTTCAAAATGTGCATACCAACATGTTATACTTGAATCAAAAAATGTCTTTAGAGTTCAGTTATTCGACCATGACAACAACTTAGACGACTGGACTCAGAATCATGTTCACGCTTCTAACCCCAGACTAGAATGATTTCAGAGATGGTCGAAACCTAATACTGCACTCAAGACATACCTTCAGCATTGTGATATTTAACAGAGCGAGCACTCAAAAAAGAGGAACACTAGATAATTTCCTCTAAGGACCTAAGTTAGCAAGGAGTTTCTTGTCAGATAGGATGCACACAACACAGACAAGTTAGGACATACTTGTCACGGGTTTCTCAGTGTGCAGAAGGTGAGAATTCGCACACCAAACCCCCAGAAAACCACAATGCTGAGGGGTGGGTAATGCCACTATGATTTGCGGTAGGAGAGTGACAGGCGACAACAACAAGAGACAAAAATCCTTTCATGATTCTTAAATATCAGGTGATTGTTGGAGTGTGGGGTATCGATTCAACAAATGCCGTTTTTATATGTGACAAGATAGCACTATAATTCTTTGTTGAATATGACATGTTCGTGTATAACAGCCAGACAGTCCACGTCAATATCTTCTAGATGGTTCGTCACTGGCGCTAAGATGTGTAATCGTTCATGTCAGCAATCAATCGCCAGCATGCTAAGGAAGCCTCGAGGTTGCAACTATTAGCTGGAATGTTCAGCATATGGGCAAAATTCTACGTCTTTGGGTGACAACTTGGTTAAAAGTCAAGGGCTTGGCCCAGGTGAATCAGGAAATCTTCCTGGGCCTGTCTTCCGGGTGGACCTGCAATAGCCATGATGAGGAAGGTGACGACTTGGACATACTGCAGCAGGGCCAGGACTAGTGATGTGCCAGGCCTGGCTTGGCCTGAAAGCCATGGCCTGGGCCTGGCTTCAGAGGGCTTGGGCCTGGCAAAAACCCAGGTCAGGCCAAAGCCCTCTGGTTGGGCCTGGCCTGGGCTTGGCTTTGGCCCAGGCCAGGGCCTCTCAATAAAAATCAAAGAAAATGATGAAAAATGATGTTTATTTATTTGAATACTAGTCAGATGGTATATCAGATAGCTCCAAATCCCAGGCAGTCCTCCCTTGAACACCAGAATCAATTTCCTCACCAACTTCTGGCTCTTAGATACGAGCCATTCAATGGCAGCCTCACAGAAGTGTGTATCGGTATAAGGTATAACTATGTTGTTGGGGGGAATCTCTTGGAGGTGTCCGTCGAGACTTGTTTGCTGCGTGTTCAGCACTGCAGCTGCTGTTTTGCATTCCTTGACATCTTGAGGTAGCATCAACTCGAAGTTGTTAGTTTTGCACCATTGTCGATAGGTGTCCTATAAACATTGATATAAACATTAATACTCAAATGAAGCGTCAAGATTCAAGTACTAAACTTACCAGATGCCGAAAGGCAATGTGGTGGTGACATGTTGAAGTGTCGCTAACAATCTGGTATGGGTAATGTTTTTTTTTCTATGAATCTGTTAGTTGGGAGGTAGCAAATCAAAGACTCTACTTACTTGCATGGCTCGCAGTCTTGAACTGTACAAGTCTTCCCATCCTTGGCCTTGTGTGCATATGGCTTGCCAAAAAAAGTGCTAATGTCACGGCTCTTTTCCTCACATCAAATGGTCGGGATTGCAGATAGGTCTTGTACATTGATGTCAGATAAAAAACCTTCGGAGTCCATGGGTGTTGCATTGCGTGTGCTCGGAGTATCTTCTGTTGATTAGAAGCATTGACAAGTAGTTATAGAACATGATAATGTAAATACATACCTGGAATATCAATTGCAGCCTGAGATGGGCTGCAAGCATCTGTAAACGATGCCTTACCATCAGCGCTTGCAATGCGGCACAGCCATTTGCCTGCAACGTTTGAACTGAGTGGTCTTGAGATGAGATGTACAAAAAAACTTACTTGTATGTGGTCCATTTTCCATACTAGTAGCACCCTCCTCATCAGATGTACTTTCATCTAGTACCGCATCCTTTGCTCCTCGTTTGCTGCCGGTTGGTACTGGTTTTTTGGTGCTGATGGCAGGCACAGGAGGCTTGTTCCTGTGGGCTGAGAGCTCTGGAGTTGCATCGTTGTTGGCATTGGTGAGTCATGACGAAAGTGTCACATTTTGTCGTGGCTGAGACACAACATGTCCTGACATGGACTCATCATCAGATACGATGATTGACATGATTAATGAACGTGACCAACTTACAGTATGGGTATGTACTTGCCTTTTCGAGAAAATTTAAAACTGTATAGTTTATATCTCTGACATCGGCCGACAGCCACAGATTTTTTACAAAGTCAAAAGCCAGGGCTCAGGCCTAGGGCTTAGGCCCAGTCAAACTACAGGCCAGGCCCTAGGCCCTAGTAAGCCTGACATTTGGGCCTGGCTTGGCCTGGCCTACATAGGGCTTGGCCTCAGGGCTCGAGGGCCTGAGGCCCAGCCCTGTACATCACTAGCCAGGACAAGCTGAAAATGATGTGGTAGCACAGCAGTACTACACAAAAGGTGACAAAACTTGCCATTCTGATGATAGCATGCCACATTGCTCGTATCCAATGGATATTATATAATTAATTAATTTTCTGCAAGTTCCTGTGACGTATCTACCATACTGCCACATCAATCAATTGGGTCACATGATGTGTTAGTCATGTAAATTGCAGCCGGTGATTTGAAAGCGGGCTGGCAGATCGCATACTATCCATGGCCAGCTTCGTCTAACAGATGGCATTGAGGTCATTCCAACAGTGGTTGGGCTGGGGCCGAGTGTTAGCTCAGATTGGGTGCTGACGAGATTGCCACTGGGTGGGCGGGAAACAAACTTGACAGGTGGACTGTTGGATGACCATTATATGTGATAAGATAGGTGGCTAAATACGATGATAGGTATGCATGTACGGGATTCGAGATATAATTCAATATGACATGAAAGTTATTATAGCTATGTTGGTAATTGGAGTGGAGGGTGGATGAAAATACGAGGAAACAAGCAAGGAGACTGTAGGTACGAGCGAGTAGGATGTGTGGAACAGAGAAGAAAAACAATAACGAGAGGAGCCGAACGTCTCACTCAGCTGGACATGTGGTGCCGGTTCCTTCCGGGCACTCTGGAACCGGCACCTTTCACATTCCCTGCTTGCCCAAACTCTTCGTGATCCTGATCTGCACATTCTAGTTACAAGCCATGCAGAATGAAGACAGGAGCCCGATGGTGCGTGAGACCCCAGTGAATATATCTGGGAAGGGCTTTACTGCCACCATCTTACTAGACAGCGCACATGTTGATGAAAATATTTATCGTTTCTTGGAGCACTTCTTGTCGCTGTTCCGCTTTCCCACAGCCAACGGAGGGTCAAAAGCAAGCAGGCAGACAGCTTCATCAATAATTGGTACAATGATCTAGGCTCGGGACCAGCCTGGCTTATGTGATGTATTGATCAGACTGGACCATCGCGAGTCTAACAATGATGGCTCCAGCTCATGCTTGCACTATCAAGTGAGCTACTAGTGGGAACAGAGGTATAAAAATTCTACGATCTTACCCTGCTCATGTGCACCAATCTCTTGCTGGCGTATGTGCATTTATCTGCAGTTTGTGCCCTTGTGGACCTTGTGCTGATATCGCAGATATAGACACTCTTTGGTCCTATTCAAGGCAGGGATGTTGTGAGGGTACTGGTGCAGCTAGTGATGTTCCAGCTCGGCTTCAAGCCCCGGGCCAGGCCAAGCTGGGCCTGATTGAGCCAGGCCCAGCCCAGGCCTAGGACACGGCCTGACCAGGGCTTTGGCCCAGGCTTCAATTTTGCGAAGCCTAAGCCACCGGCCCAAGCCATGGCTTAGCAATCTATTTCGGTATGTAAGTTTCTGTTTATGTTTATGTTGTTCTGACAATTGGTATCAGCTTCTCAGTCAATCGATCATCGATCATACCATGAGGTATATCAGAATGAGATCACAGTGAGTCGCCGTTGTCATGTTATTAAAGCTCACTGATATTTACCCCGGTCTTGAAAAGCAAACATTCAGCAATCCATGCGCCTCTACAGTCTTGCCTGGTGCTTCAACTTCGCTACCTTCGCAAACTTAATCTGTTTTCGAATCACATTCAATTTTTTATATGTGGTACATGTATATGTGTTGTATCTACCTAGCAGCCTGCAATGACCAGCACAGTCCACACAGATAATGAAGATGAACCTATCGTGCATTCTTGTCCCATGCGCAGGATCAAACCCACTGCTGCTCTCCTCCAACACTTGGAGAAGGCCGCCCTTCCATCCCAAACCAAAGCTATCAATGAATTCCATGCCACGGAGGCAGCCAAGTGTGCTTTGGAGGTTTCTGGCCAACCCAAGCCCGTGCCTCCCCCACCCACAGCTATTCCCTCGTCCAATGTGCCTCCCCCACCCTCACCTATTCCCTCGTCCAACAAATGCTTGCATCCTGATGATGCCTTCATCGACATTGAAGACGAATCTGACGATGAAGACCACAACTCAGTCCGCGAGAATGCTCATACCAACCCAAAGCCTCGTAGAAAGAAACGGAAGGCTCCAGAGAAGTCCCCCGAGTTGGTTGATGGAGATGGGGTTCTCATTGACGTTGATGTCTCTATTGCGGACCCAGGATCATCTCGGGAAGGCAAAACTGCCAATATCAACACATTCTTTGGAGCGACATTTGAGCAAACCGGGGCCAATGGCAAAGTGAAGAAACACTGAAAGTGCAGTGTTTGCCCATAAGTCTACCTTTGTACTCTCATACTACTCACTCACTCATTTGTAGGAAAAAATGTGTCCTCGTCAATGAAATCACCACCCTTCGTCGCCACGCTGAGGCCCATTTTTCCGGCAAGTATCGCAAATGGGCAAACCAACATTCATTTGAATCAATGTTACCTGGCGACATGAAGGCTCGCAAGGAGAATGCTGTGCAGCAGAGGATCAATGCCCATCTCACTGAACACAAGGCCGAACAAGTTGTACCATATTCTGACAAGTTGTTCAGACAAGCTGCCATTGAATGGCTAGTGGCAACTGATCAGGTACATCTGCCTTCCTCAATTCAAAACCATGACTGACAGCTTATTCTTCTAGCCTATACAAGTGCTTGAGCACCCCAAATTTCAAGAGCTGATTCATGTTGCTTCTCGGCAACCAACAGAGTCAGGATTCCGGGTAGGAAGGGCACTCGTGCCGAAATTATGAGAATGTTTAAAAACCACCTTACGAGGCTAAGGACCATGCTGAATGTGAGTGATTTGATGTCTGTTTGTTGTATTTTGTCTCATTGGGCTTCATATAGTGCTGCTGTCAAGGGAAACATTAATACCACCTGCGGACGCATGGCAAGCGGAGAACGTCGACGGTTATTTTGCTGTCATGGGGCATTGGATTGAAGAGAAAGTACCCATGCAATGGGAAATTGAAAGCTCACTCCTTGGGTTCACGAGAGTCAACAATGCACACAGCGGCAAGCGGCTGGGCAGGGGCCTTATTCAAAATTCTCGATCGTGTTGGGATTGCACAGAAGGTAAATCAGTTTATTTGACTACGACATCCTACAGCGCTCATATAACTTAGCTCGGGCATGTCACCTGCGACAATGCTGCAAAACGATGGGACGACACTACAAGAATTTGCACGCATATACAAGGCTAAATATAACAAAGTGTTTCCCTGGCGCCAGCGCAAAATCAAGTAAGTCCTGTCATTGTCCTGAACTCACTATGACACTCATTATTTGTGCAGCTGCTTGGCTCATGTCATTAATCTTGCAACACAGAGTCTGATCAGCACATACAGCAAAGCACTGTATTACAACCCTGCACGAACCGAAAAGTCATGAACCGACCACTAGGGATGAGATAGCCCTTGTTCGAAGTATTTGTGTCAAGGTACATTTGTTTTCATTAGAATCATATGACACTACTAAGATATATTGATGTCCTGCAGGAACAGTCATCCGCGAAGGCAAAGGAAATGTACCGGAGTGTGCAGATCAAAGCAGGAGTGTCTCAACCAACCCAAATGTTGATTGACATGAAAAGTTCGTTGGTCCTCAACATACATTATGCTTAATCATGCCGAGACAAACAAGGAGGTACATATTTCATGTTGTCATACTTCTACTCATTGATGCTTATGACTGGCTCTAGCACATTGATACTTTCATATATGAGATAGGTCGTCAAGAGCATGACTTAGCAAAATGTGCCAAAATTGACTTTCTTCAACTCTCCGCTGGTGAATGGACACGTGTCGGCCAATTTGCTGATCTTCTTTTGATATGAGAGTTTCTAATTTATGTGTACTAACTTCTTATGTTAATTTGTTTAGTATTCCGATGTCGCACAGCAAGCATTTTCATCTGAACGTGGCTCGACTCTGCACCTCGCAATCCCAGCGCTCGAAACCCTCTACAGGGCTTGGTCTTCGCGTGCCAAAATGTCAAAGTACACATCGTTCGCTACGTCCCTTCAAGCAGCTGCTGCCAAGGTAGATGAATACTACGAGAAGACAACACTGTCCCCTGCATATATAATGGCAATCTGTAAGTTGTTATTCATTAATCAATAATCACTCTAATGCTTGCAAATGTAGTGCTTGATTCAGTAGGGAAAATGACTTATTTCAAGCGCCACTGGCCAGAAAATTTGCATGATGACGTGGTAAGCACTGCGGAGGAAGTGGTGAGTCAAGCTTTTTTTGGCTTTGCACGATAGTCTGATTTTTCCGCCAGTTCAAAGCTCATTATTGTGAGCTGAATGAAGACACTACGTTTTTGTCATCATCCCAGCCCACGTCCAAGAAAAGCAAGGCAGGTGGTCTCAAGTCACTCATCCGCGAAGTCATCAGCGATTCGGAGGATGACTTACTTATGAACCCCACCCCTACTTCCATTGGCGATCCATCACGGCCATGGAGGGCCGAGTTCATGAGCTATTTGGAGACTGTTGAGGCAGCTCTACCAGCAGGTGTATCTGCCATTCGTTGGTGTGGGGTACGTTCTATGGCTTGCGCTACTTAGAAAATTTGCACTGATGTTAATTTTGCTCAAGATGAATGCACCAAGATATCCAGTATGGGCCTCGCTCGCACGAGATTACCTATCCATCATGTCGTCATCAGTCTCAAGCGAGCGTGCATTTTCACAAGGCGGCATAACCATCAGTAAACGACGGAACCGGCTTAAAGGAGACATCGTTGAAGCTCTCCAATGTCTCAAATGTGCAATACGACATGACCTTCTCTTTCGCGAGCCTGGACCATCCTCTCTCATGGAGTCGGAGGAATTTGACGACTCTGAATTGGAAGTTGACAGTGAGGAGAGGACCAGGGATGTTGTTGCAGATGAGGAGGATGCTTGGGATGCTTTGATTTTAGATGATGATGAGGACTCTGAGTAGTGTTACTACATGTATTTTCTTGTGCTACTATACTACAAATCTACAACTTTGCATACCACCAAGCCACGGCCTAGTATGGCTCAAGCCACGGCTTTGGGCTGGCTTGGGCTCATGGCCTAGGCTTGAAATATGGCAATGCCCTCCCCAGGCCGAGCCTAAGCCGGGCCGGAACGTCACTAGGTGTAGCAACGGTCTGTCATAGAAATTCCTAACCACAACAAGCTCCTAGTGAACATCTATCACTCGTTTTTTTGCAACCATGTTTCGCACCGTCTAACCTGCACCCCAGTGACCCTCTGTGAAGTACAGTACCACACTACCCACTTGAAGTTTTCTCTCTCCACTTGATGACACAAGATATACAGGATTGGCTTGCCCTTCTTTCTGTACTCGTTATTTTTTGTGCTGGCTCGAAAACAATAATATTTTAATGATCTGCAGTTTCGCCCTAATATGTTATCCAAAGGCTGGAAATGTTATGCAACATCATGTCTTTCAAAAAATATTCTAGATTCACCATCCGACCCTGCATGCAGGAACATATATCCCATTCACACTTCATTGATGAAGTGAATCTCCTCGACTCTAGTTCAACGATAATGATACACACGACGGTGAACAACAGTTATTTGAATTCGAATTCGTTAATCTTAGTTGTAGTTCCCATATGATCATTGTAAGTCACCATGCATGTACATGCAGACATATGAGAATCGTGATTGGAATGGTAAGTACTGCAGAAAGGCTGATTGAGATGCATGAGCGTGCACATGTACTAGCTTGAGGGGCAGGTCTATTGATGCTTTAAGAGTACCAATTGAACAACTATCCGTTGTATCTCGTGTACTTTTCACAGATAGGGACTAAATTACTCTTTTTGGCGAGGGTTGCAGGGCGTGTGTACATGTCGCAAGGCTGCATGTCGACGTCAACAGATTTCTTAGTTACTGGACCAGCGTTCACCGGTAGACTCCAGCTGCAGCTTTGCAACTTGAAGGTCGTCGACAGGCTATCATAGTAACCTTCGCATGTGAGAAATCATCACTGCACTATTTGGATAGACTTCAAGCCTCAACCAGTGTTACCGTAATGACTACACGACGAGAGGGAAACTTTCCTGCTGTCTCGATAGGACGTGTCCAAGGCGCATCTATTGCCAGGATTGTCTCTCGTGACAATCTCGCCACACATCCGCTCCTCTCTTCCAGTCCATCTACCCCTTCTCCCAGTCCCACACCAGAAACTCAGCCTTCCTCAGGCTCAATACCAAAGTATTATGTACCATACACGCCTAGGCAAAGGTTGCCTACAACAAGCACCACTGCCCAACCGCCAGTTTCAGTCTCTCCGCAGCATCAACAAACGGGCGGCGCGACTAGCAAGCTTCAGCTGATGAACCTCAGGGCCGCAGCACAGGGCATTGGTCTCGATACTGGATGCCTTGGATGGGCAATGTTAGAGAAACTGAGCCAAGACGGAGAGACAGACGAGTGGGCTGAAATATGGGGTGCCATTACCAAGGGCAAGGTACGTTTTCATTGACTGACAATTCAGCTCACAGAAAAGCTTCGTAGGCGTTCTCTACTACTCCCACTTGAGAAATCCTCAGGACAAGAGAAGATCACGCCTGACTTCATGTCAGATCATGTGCTCATGTGCAATCATCTATGCAAAGACGATACTCAAGTGGTCACACTTTCTGGCTTGCGCGGACACTTGTCTAGGTTCGTTTCCTCGTACTTAGCACCATTTTGACCTAATACATTTATTCAGCGAAAATTTGACGTTTCGCTCCTCACTCCCCCCAACAAAGTTACCCGACATCACATTCTCATCTCTTCCCCCACTCCCTTCAATCCCACCAGATTCTGGATACCCCTCATATGCAGTCCCAGCACACAGTACCTCCCTTCCGATCCAAGTTCGTCCACCAAAGCCACCCCTACCCCCGCGACCCACACCCGCTACCCAACCTTCGCGCCTCGCCATGCCTTTCGCTTCCCTATTCGGCGCCAAGCCCATGACCACACCCCCAACGATCGCTGCTTCCCTCCCTCCCATACAGACGCCATTAATACCTCCCTCAGAGGATCATCCCATTCTCATCAATGCATTCAGTATTTCCTGCGCAGTATATCGACATGATGTGATGCGTGACGTTCTTGCTGCCCTCAAGTCTGAGCTCACATCGACTCTTGAAACGGTTGGTGTCCCAGCGATGATCATCGAGCGCGTACAATCATTTGCATCCCCTTTACTTCCGTTCATTAGAGGACCTGCTGGGAAGAAGAAGCTTCACGACATTGGCGCAAGCCCAAGTAAATACGGAACATGGACCGTCAATCTCGATGCGGGGAAAGATCGACCCGATGAATTGACTGAGAAATTTCAGGAGTTTTATGTGGAATTAGAGGGAGAAGTGCGGACTGAAATTGAGAAAGAGAAAGGCGAGACATCGGAAGAAGAACAAGAGTCCAGGGTCAAGGAAATCGTCGAGGTGGTGGAGGGGACTCTAACTACCTTGTTTTATGATCGGTACGTGAGCAGTATAGAAGCGTCAATTTCCCTGTTCTAGCGCTGATTCCTACTAGACTATTCCTCCCATCTCACTCTGATGATGCCTCACATGATGAAGCACTATCAAGCCACATCGCAGCTCTCAACGTTCTTGATCTAGCGCTCGAGCATCTTGATGTTGATGTTGGCAGCGCTGGGTCCGAGATTGCCGTTGTAGTCCGAGCATGTGGAGAGAGTAAGTTTTCCAACTTATCCACACGTGCTGCTCATTCCACTTCATTGATATTTTCACAGCGTTATCTCAGCTAGACATTTCCTGTCGATCTCCCAGTGATAAGGCAGCTGTGCTGGTGGCAGCACACAAACTCATAGTAGGTAAGTGGAATGCACATATACATGCGTGATATGTAATTCAAATTACGCAAAGATGGTCTTTCCCGTCTTCCTCCGATTAAACTCAGCAATAGCACAAAACACCCTGAGGAACACAAGCCGCTGCAGCGAAAGGAGAGTACACTCCCAGGACCGATCGAAGCTGTGGACGTCGCGCTCGTTGCTTCTCCCGATGCGTTATCCTCACCCGATTCACAATTCGATGGGGATGCAGCTCATGGGTCACCCGAGAAGTTGTCTCTCTCGCCTAGTGTCTCATCTCCACAGGAACCACCTTCGACTACAGCATTCTCCTCTATTTCCATCCCACCCCGTGCTGTCTCGCCCCAACTGACTATCCCCCATGTCCAACAGCCGACGACAGTATCAGGCGATGTCCTCCTCCCACTTCTCATATTTGCCGTTGTCAAATCAAACCCAGCACGCCTGGTCTCGCACCTTCTGTTCACGCAGCGTTACCGTAACGCTACGTTCGCTGGTGGAGAAGAGCGATACTGTTTAATAAATCTGATGGCTGTCGTCGAGTTTTTGGAGAATGTAGATCTTGGTGCTGTAGGCGTCGGGGAAGGTGTTGGTATTATAAGGTGGGTGTTTTAACTTTTCGATATCGTTTGTTTGCCTGCTTTAAACCACTGGTCCTTCTTTCCCATGGATTAACATGCATTCCCATTCGATACGCTAACCATTGTTTTCTACAGCACCGCGGACCTCACCCCAATCCCAATCGTACGTACTACACTTTCACCAGATGCGCCTGTAGACGCACCCGGCAGTCTTCGTGGACGCGTAGAACAAGGCGTCGACGCTATCGCGGGGTCCGCTAATAAAGTCATCTCCGGCGTCGTCGACAGCTCATTCGGCGTACTCCGCTCATTCTTACCATCTGCACCTACCTCAACATCTGCTCCGGCTTCGGCGTCTGCCATGAACTCGACATTCACGTCTGCTCCTACCACAGAGGCCAGTGACGCGCGGTGGAACATGGGGCTGTTGAGGCGAGAGAGCGGGTTCTCGATTGCGAGTTTGGTGCCAGGCAGGAAGGGGGAGGGGAAGGGGGAGGATGGGCAGAGGGAGCTCGTGGAAGTATCGTCGCGCCCTGGTTCTATACGCTCGATTTATGTGAATGAGGATGTGGGAGTGGGACGGACGGAGGACGAGAGTGAAGAGAGTGACGAGAGTGACGACGACGAGGAAGACAACGAGGAAGAGGAAAGCGAGGAAGAACATGCACATGATGCAAAAAGCATTCGAAGTTTCGAGAGCATGATGAGCGGAAGTAGTGAAGGAACACGAAAGAAGAAGAAGAAGCTTGCTTCGTTGAGTAGGAAGAGTTTGACGGACCGGTTGGCGCAGGTGCCAGGACTTTCGAGGCTGTCAGGAACGGATGCACACAAGGTCTGTCTTTGCTTATTTGCGCATTAGAGTCATCACTGACGTCCTCTATCCATAATGTACACTTTTATGATCGATCTGCATCCTGTCGCAGACGGCATCACCCCCCATGACACGTTCCTCACTGTTACTCCCTTCGCACCGCAACCGCCTCGACTCGCCGACATCATCGCGCGCGCCTTCTCCCATTTCGATACGGCTTCCTGCGCCTAGCAAGCGGTTTATGGAGTGTGCGGAGGATGATTTGAGGGTGTCAGAGGTGGCGGAGCTGTTGAGGGAGTATAGACGATTGGTAGAGGGCGTGCGGGCTCTGGGTGCGTTTGATGAGTGATTTTGGGTGTGTATGAGAAGGGATTGGTGGTTTGTATGTCCTTTCACAAGAGTTGTTATTTACACGAGCCGAATTAATATTCGCAGGACATTCCTTCACTTGAAATCCTGAAATACTTCATTCAGCATGGTCGCATGCTATCCCAACGCTTCACACGATCTGCTCTACTACTCCGAAAATTTGTCTGCTAACCTTGGGAACCTTTGCATCTCTGTTGAACTGCAGGGCGGAGTCATTAGGTAAGAAATCTTGCTAGAAAAAACATCTTCGAGGCGAATTTATGATGGATCTCTGCTGAGAACAATATTCTAGGGAACAACCTCCACATCGCTAGGCGGAACAAGTATTTGGGTATCGACTCTTACAACCAACTTTTGAAATAAACGGTGGCAAAATGTGCACCAATAATCAACATGTAAATCAATTTCGCGCAGATACAATCAAATTGATCAAAAAAGAGGACACGAACGTCAAGCCTATGATTTCAAGAATATGCAGACCATGTTATACTCGAATTAAACACTAAAATGCAGACTTTGGTAGCTATTGGACCATGATAACGACTCAGACGACTGGACTCAGAATCATGTTCGCGCTTCTAACCCTAGACTAGAATGATTTCAGAGATAGTCGAAACTCAATACTGCACATAAGACATACCAGAATTGTGATATTTAACAGAGCTAGTACTCAAAAAAAAGAGTATCACTACATAGATAATTTCCTCTAGGGACCTAAGTTAACAAGGTGTTTATTGTCAGATAGGATGCACACAACACAGACAAGTGAGGACATACTTGTTGTGGGTTCCTCCGTGTGCAGAAGGTGACCACCAGGACACCAGCTCGCCAGAAAACCACAACCCCTCTGAGGGGTGGGTAATGCCACTGTAATCTGCGGTAGGAGAGCCATGGTGGCGACAGCAAGAGACAACAGTCCTTTCATGATTCCTAAATATCAGGTGGTTGTTTGAGTGTGGGTGCTGAGTGCATTATCGATTCAAGGAATGCTGCTTTTATATGAGACAAGATAGCACTATAACTCTTTGTTGAACATGACACATTTGCCTAAAAACATCCAGACGGTTCATGTCAATATTTTCCAAATTGTTTGTCACTGACGCTAAGATGTTCAATCGTTCAGGTCAGAAATCAGTCGCCAGCATATCAAGGAAGCCTCGAGGCTGCAACTATTAGCTGTAACATTCAGCTTGTTGGCAGAATTCTATGTCTTTGGGCATCAATTTGGTTAAAATTCAAGGGCTTGGCCCAGGTGAATCAGGAAATCTTCCTATCTGCTGCATGGACATGCAATAGCCGTGATAGGATCATTAGGGACTGCTCAAAGTAGCCACCTAACTTCGCCTATGCCTAAGTCTGCCTAACTTGTTTGGTCATTTGCTCAAAATCCATCTGATCATGAGCGCTTTGCAAACATGCTTCGTATCTCCCCAACTGTTTTCAAGGTGCTTCTGCACCTTATCAAAGATCATCCTGTCTTTTCGAACAATTCTAATGTGCCCCAGAAGCCAGTACATGTTCAGCTAGCAACTACACTGTACCGAATGGGAAGGTATGGAAATGGAGTATCACTTGAGGATATTGCACGAGTGGCAGGTAGCTCAGAATGTGTTGAAATTTGAATATTGCACACTACTAGTACATTAACTTAACATGATATGCACAGGTGATGTTGAAAATGCTACTGCATGTTGCTTCAATGCTATTGAAAGCTTGCATGATCTCTTCGTTTGGCCTCTCACTCCAGAAGAGAAGGAGGTAGAGAAGAGATGGGTTGACAACCACATTGGGTTCCATGGTTCATGGCGAGATGGGTGGGTCATGTATGATGGAACAATTGTAGTCCTTTTTGCTCGACCTGGCCTTAATGGTGATGCTTACTACACCCACAAAGCAAACTATGGACTCAATGTTCAGGTACAATTCATGAATGTAAGGCTTGAAAAAAATTGTTGCTAACACATACCAAATAGATTGGCAACACTCCCTCCAATCTTTGCATTGTGGATTATTCTCATGGTTTCACTGGGTCTGCTCATGATGCTGTAGCATTTGAGCACACTGCAGCTGGACAGCACCCTAACTGGTTCTTCGAAGGTGATGAATTTGCATGGGCAGATTTGGCTTATTCACTGAACCGCTACACTATTCCTGTCCACAAACAGCCTGCATCACTTCGTCCAGAAAATGCTGCCTTCGATGATGTGGTCTCTCATCTCCATGTCTGCTCAGAACACTGTATGGGAGCTCTCAAGGGACATTTCCAGTGCCTTCATGGCCTTCGAGTCACCATCAACAGCAACAGAGATCACATTAGGGCTTGTCGATGGATTACAATTGCCATCATTGTTCATAATTTGGTCATTGATGTTGATGGAGCAAGGGCAGGTGGTAAGTTTTCTGGAATACATACAGGTGTGCAGGAGAACGAGGATAGAGGTGAGGCAGATGAACCTATTGATGGTGAGGAAGATGTAGGTGTGAAGCGGAAACAGTTAGTTGCAGAGCTCACAGTATATAGAGGATTATTATGACATTAAAACTGGGTAAAGTATTATAATGGAACATACTATGTACATGTACAAAGTGTTACAATAACATTTAGAACCCACTTATTTTTCTTTTCTGTAACCATAGCGCCAGCTCTAGACTCATCTAGACCTGGCTATTCTCTTATCAAGCGGGCTGTCCGCACTTCTTCTTTTCTTGATTGTAACATAGCTACTATCATGCGCCGCATGGTTGTTTCATCTATCTTTGCTATCTTGATAGGTTGTACTATTTTTCCTATCTTTGTTACCTTTCTTGACACAGCTGCGCCGCTCCTTTTTACCTATATAAACCCCATGTACAACAGCAGTATTCCTTAACTTAATCTACTGGGTTTTCCCTTGAATCCTCTTCTATAAGGTCTCCAGCCTTATAGTCTGATACTTGATTCTAAGACAGTCACTCACTGTCTTAGCCTGAACCCTTGATAGGCAGAAGTGCTAAAACCACTCGCTGCTGATCCTAGATAGAAGCCGCCGTGCTCGTCTAGTGAGAACCCTTGAACCAGAACCCTCCTTGTACTAGGAGGTCTGAAGAACTGTCAACAAGACTGGTCTATCTTTGACCATTGACAGAAGAACTATCCCAGTCGTAACACAAAGGTCAATTGGTATCCAGGGTATCCAGTCAATTAACATATCCTAAAAGTCATCCTGGTCAGAAGGAAGTTCACCACCTGCCTCGATATCCCAAAATGGAGACTGAGAACGAGTTGTAGGTGCTGCAGGCTCAACATCAATAGTCTTGGAATCTTCAAATGCAGCTACCTTTTGACAATACTCGTCAGCAGTCCAAACACCAAGTTTGAGCTCCTCAATGAGTATCTTCCGCTTCTTGAGCTTTTGTTCCTCAATAAGATGAGTATTGAGGGATTTCAAATTTTCACTGCAAAGAACATTGAGTTAAATACACATTCTGGTCAGATGTCACTCACCGTTGGAGATTGAGAATGGAGTCCTCGAAAGAACACTTTTGAGGGAGCTTCTTAATTGAAGCTCTCGCCTTCTCGAGTGCACTTTCAGAGATAGAAAGGGTTTTCCCATGATGAACATTTCGAGCAGGTATCTTTAAAGTATTAGATATATCAGTGCCAAAAGTGTACTGAGACTCTGGAGTCTTGGGCACAGCCATTGCTAAGCTCTGAGCAGCATCAGACTCAGCAAGCAGAACTGGGTCTATGTTCTCAAGCCCATCATTAGGTGGCTGCATGAATGTGACATGACAACCATGTGGCCCAACACCTGTGGTCACAGCTGGGGGGTTGACATTTGGGCAAGTTGCCCAAATTCGGTGACAATTTGGAAAGAAAGGCCATTTTGCAGTGATTGCATCTGCAAGACATGAATTAAAAATCACGGTGAAAAGATAATGAAAAATCATGACTCACCCCAAAGGTTTTTCGCCTCTATCAGCGTATCATGGTCAGGACCACTCGAGGGGATGTAGAAGTCAAAAACCACGTCAGAATTTTTATCTGAAGGGTTCTCACCATCTTTCAAACCTCCACCAGTCTGTTTCAAGGCTGCAGCATGCTTCATGTATGTAACCCGATGCCTGAATACTTACATAAAGTCAATGAAGACAATGAAATAAATGAAACTCACAATTCAACCTTTTTCCGAGTCTGATCTATCGCTGTCCTTGGATCCAAAGCAAACACCTCAGGTAAAATGGTGTTTGCTATAGTTTTATAAGCAGAAATCTTTCGGTCACCTGTTTTAGACTGGGAAATATCAATATGTGCTTCGAATGACAATGGTTCATGCACATCATTGTCTTCTTTGATGCCAAATAAGACTTTGAGGTTGACTGGCCTCTTGACCTCGGCAATGAGTTTCCATACAAGGTCAGATGTCTATGTGATAGGTGGGATGCTGGTATTTGTTTTACGTGGCATTATTATATATAAAGAGTGTAGGGTAACGAGTGTGATGGTTACAAGGAGTGTATACACTGGTATGTAGTGCAGGGTGCTGAAGTACAGACACTGAGCACTGACTGATTCAGCGGCTTATCTAATACAAAAAGTTAGGCAGACTTAGGCATAGGCGAAGTTAGGTGGCTACTTTGAGCATCCCTATTGACTGATGAGGAAGGTGATGACTTGGACGTACTGTTGTAGTATGTAGGGCCAGGCTGAAAATAACGCGATACTATACAACATTGCTCGGAATTTGTTATGTAAATTAATTAATTTTCTGCTGGCAGTTAGCAAGTTTCGGTTATGTGACGTATCTGCCCCACATACTTTGTCACTGCCACGTACATCAAGCGATCATGTATATGTGGGGTTTATACAATGGACAGGCTCCGGTATACTTACCTTTCTGATGCATATGATAGAATGCAACATTGCTCGGAATTTTATCTCCGTAATGGTCCAGTGGATATTATGTAATTAATTAATTTTCTGCTCAAATTCGAGTTCCAGCCCTTACGATGTGAAGCACTCACTGGACTTCAGGTTCCTCACGGCGTCGCCAACACACCTGAGGCCTGACCCTTCCTTTCCAATAGGTAAGTCTTACGATCACGCATATCGCAAAATATTATTATGCTTAGTTATGATAATACCCAACACCAGCATTAAATGCTGTCTCAAATCTCCACAGACGGATCTCTCTACTTGAAGTTTGCATTGTGCAACACCCCCCACCATCTCGCTCTCAGCCTGTCGACAGAGCTCAATGTTTTACCAGGATATATAAATTCAGCGTTTCAAGCGTGTTCTACGTCATATCAACGTCCAACGATCTGCCTCAAAAGTGTCAAAGCCTTGCTTCCTTCGCTACTACTCTGCTCGTCTCTTAACTTGGTCCTAAGCCTTACCAAAGCCTTTCCCAACTGGTTTTGGCCTTTTTGATCTATCCCAATACCCCAAAACGAGTCCTTATCAGAATCCTGTGGAGTATCATTAAACTTCGTCATGGTCCTTGATACGATCTAGTCTGCTAACCTCGACAAGCTCTGCATCTCCAGTAGAGAGTAGTTCTTTCTTTAGATGTCTGTTCTGCGAGAACTTATGCCAGAGAACAAGGTCCATCTGATTATTTGTGTCATCAGCTGAACGCAATTGCAGTCGATACTGATTCTCACCATCTCAATCCTCACTTGCAGCCAATCAGATCGCACTTCGGGACTAAACCTGTGGGCTTCGTCAAACACTACACGTGGACGCGTTGAACAGGTCCTAATGTGCTCTGCGAGCTCGGGGCGGCGTTCCATGAACTGTTGCAGTAGTGAGTACTATAGTAGTTGATATGCTGTTCGCAAAGCTACTGACTTTCAGCGACTGGAAGAGATGTTCGCTCGTGGGGTATTTCTTTCCATGGTACTCAATTGGGTCGGATGAGAAATTAGTGAATCCATAGTATGGGTCGTGGGCATGATAGAAAAGTATTTTGTTTGGCTTCCCATTTAAGAGTGTCATGCTGGAGTGTGGAGTTGGGTGGGTGGCAAGTGAGGATGACTGAGGAGATGTCGATGGGCGCTGTGTCGGCGATGCACGAGGGGGATGCAACCCACGTGGTATTTGGGGCGGCGGGGCAGGGCTTGTGGGGGCAATACTAACTTTTCCGCCATCCGACAGGTATCCACGATCCTCCTCGAGTCCCTTCTTGATCCGTTCAAGTTTACGGGGACTCTGTTGCTCGGCTGAGCTGATCCGAAATGATTGGGCAAGGTCCATGTGGTGCGTCAGGAATGTTGTTTGGCTACTTTTCTCCTCGTTGGACGTCGGTGCCTTCTGGAACTTTCGAGGTGATTGCAGTGTTGCCGCTTGGTTTCTTTGGTTCGTGGTAGGCTTCATACTTGTCACCATGTTACAATTTTTCGGTCTCTATATGAAGAAGCTTATGTATGAGGCGCGATCCTCTTATTCCCATGCACCATGTGCTGCAGGCACGTTGCTGCTTCGAGGAAAACTGGATCCGTGATGCAGCGATGGTCTGTGCTGGAAGCAGCGCCGTAGTGGCGCTGCTTCACGCGCATGTAGGGTGTGCACTACACGTGGGCCATATGCGCAACCAGTTATCTTGTTTGGTGAGTGAGCCTGATGTCGTTATATTTCCTTTCCTACGATGGCTACAATCCTGGACACTGTGCGACGAAATGCTACTATGTGCGAAGTATGTCTCGGAGACTGGTTTTCTTCCTATCAAATATTGAATCGTGTTGGTGATAGGCATGTGGTATCAAGCCAAGATATGTTGGCCCAAGTGGAACACAACACTCTTATTGTGGTCGCTCGTGTGCTCTGGCTGGGCTCGGAAAGGCAGCGTCTGAATGCTTGCTCAGAGGTTGCAGCAACACGGGGACTGCTTTCAATGGGTTCTGTTCCGTTGATCACGCAAAGTAAGTCGTAATAACGAAATGCTTCTTGAGACAGAGATTGAGAGTCAGCAGGAAGGGGGGTGCTCTTTCTCCTCCGTCAACTGCTCCCAGCCCCAAGACGCCGCTACAAACTCACAACCACAACGGTGCTGGGCGCACGAAGCCTAAAACTCCCTCGGATGTCGTTCACTTATCTGAGATTCCCAGTTCTGCGACGGTGTGGCGAGAATGTACGTGATATTTTCAATCACGCCTATGCTATTTGACTTATATCTTTTCAAGTTGTGAGGGAGTGGAATAGCAAGTGGCTGTCCCAGGAAGGGTCAGCATTGGTGGAAAAGCTGTATGAAATATCTTATCCGACGAGTATATCCGATGCCCAAAATAAATATCTGTGAGTGAGTCCTCTTTCATTGAGCTCAGAGCTAAGTCTAGTTATCCATAGACAGGGCTCACAAACTACTGGGCAAGCCCACATCTTACGCACATTTCACGCATCTCAATGCATCTGCGACTTGGGGACTAAAGGTCCCACGCTTTGCAAGTGGAACTCGTGCGGCATCTGTAATGTCGTGGGGTCGGCTTTTAGATGTGTCACATTTGGTGTGCCATACAATATAGGCAGGTGAGCAGTCATCTTCATTTCATAGACGCATTTTTCATCTCTATCGTCATTCGTTTTCAAGGCAAGGGAAGGGACTATACTCTTCTAGAGACCCAGCTTCCGCCGATCGGTTTGCCACCTCGTGCTTGTCTTCGCCTTACCGCGTCATGATCGCCTGCGATGTTGTTTTACCACAACACCTTGACAAGAGCACTTCGGTAACTGACCTGAACTTGAGTTTAGAGCTTTTATTGACGTTATACCTGTAGGTCGTTGCTGGCGACAGGGTAGTTGTTCGAGTGTCAGATGCTATTATTCCCAGATTCATCGTGATGTACACGAAGCAGACTTAAACATCGCCCTCATTAGTTTGGACAGGCATCATGATTTATTTATGTATTTCAATCTCTTGTGAGTTAGCGCAAACCAAGTTTTGCCGGAATTGTTTGGATTTCCTTGTGGGTCATGATGCATGATGATCTAGCCACGTGCAATGCCTTCCCTTGATCGAAGGAACAGGAGGCAAACAGAAGGCCTAAGAATCACTAAGGCGTGCCCTTTTTTGCTCACTTTGCACTGCTCCATTCCATGATAGATAGCCTCGTGCACTAACATGCGGACAGCACGTTGTAGTGTGGTACCGTCTACCCCAACGCCTAGGGTGTCTCAGCAGCCTCATGCTAATGGCCACCACCTCTATAAACCACGACGCAATTTTGAACTGGGCAGCGGCTCAGATAACTTCAATGGCTACTGGACTTTGCGAGGTCAGTAGTTGCTTACCCCGTCCCTACTAGTACTAGTAGTTCACCCTTGAATATTCTTCCGTAGAACTGTCATAAGGCGCCGAAATTCGGTACTCACAAGTACTGCGGCAAAACATGCGCCGCTCAGGCGGCCACTGCACACCAGCCTGCACGTCGCGCGAAACCAGGACCACCTCCCAAGGCCAAAGTTCCTCCACCAGCCCAAAAACCGGGACGGCTCTGCGACGTGAGTGCGGAATCATGATGACCTGGTACTCATGAAACATGTTTCATTCCAGTATTGCGGGCAAAAGCCAAAGTTCAGTAACTTTGATTACTGCGGTAAATCATGCGCATCGAAAGCCTCTACCGCTCTTCCTGCGCAACCTGCTGTACATGGCCGATCGGTTCCAAAGCATGGCGCTCGCCTTCCGGCCACTGCTCAGCCTATCAAAACTTCTAAACCAGCAACGCGCCACGCACTGGCAGCAACTGGGACCAAAGGTTACCCATTATCGCCCATCTAACTTGGATACTTACTCATATTTGTAGATGAATCCAGCGAGGATGACGACGACGAATACGCTGATGCCGATGAGGAAGCTGAAGACGATCCGGGAACAGGCACAGATTTAGATGCATATCCATCAGATGATGACGAAGAGCCTACTCCGGCTCCTTCGTCACGACCAGTCAAGACTGTGCATGCTCCACTGAAACAAAGCCACCCAGCCCGTCATGTGACTGGTACCTGTCTTGTCCCCAACTGTGGAAAACCGTCTTTCGTTGATAGAGGTGGGGTAAAAACAGATTACTGCTCCACACGTCACCGAGAGTAAGTGGTTACAGAAGGTCTATTGCCACGAAATACTAATGTCCTCCAGAGAAGCAGTGACCCTCGGACTGGTTCCGGGATGCATCATGTGCCAACGCTACCCACAGACTGGAATAGATTACTTCTGCTCTGCCGCTTGCAGAAATCAGTCCATGACGAAAGTCTAGCTAACGGCTGTGTGAATACTGTAACAGTTCTGTACATTACATACGTGTAACAGTATGTTAGGCTCGTGATGGAGTTATTTCGTGGTAATTTAAAATTCTGTGAGCGAACACAAGAGTGGACGCCTCAGAAGAATGCGCATCAAGATGAGGACCGCTGAAGCTGGAAGGAAAGTCCTCGATATCAACATCGGTCCGTCTTGTCCACGATTTTCCCTGGATGATTCTTAAGATCAATACAAACGGCGCAATGACCTGGATGGTTGAAGATGAAATCCAGATGGCATGACGTAGTGCCACTTCTTACCTGCATTTGGTTCTGAATGACCATGAATGGATATTGAACAAAGTTATCCATCGCGTAGAGGATAAGATAGACGATCGAGCTAATCGCGGAAATCATACAAGATTCAGTGGTCATGGCGACAATACTGATGTACTCCGTCCCATGATCATGAGTTCCTGAACAAATGACGTACATCAAAATGATCAGACGATATAGCATGCATACCTGTTGATTTCCTGAGCTTCGTACGGTGCATCATTATGCGAGCAGTTATCAATGACGTCGTGATAATATTGAAGGAGAGATTGACCACAACGAAGATGCAATACGCTTTGGTCATTGCTTCCATTGACTTGGACACTTTTGTTGTATTCACAAACAGATTGATAGAAGTCACTGTCGATGTATTGTCAGCAGCCTTGAAGTCAACGCTTTGGATCGTAAAACATACCAATAACGACAAGGAACGCGATGAATGGGATAGGGATCAGCCATATTTTGTTTTTCGTGTTTCGGAACACGATAACACAGCGCACAAGCTAAGGTAGAGGTATGAATCAATGATCCGCATGAGCACAGATGGTACTGATGATCTTACCATGAGCACATCGGTCAGCCATTCGGAGATGATATAGCACGCCATTGCTGCTACGCTAGCCCAGTCACGCCATAAATCGATCTCGTGAGTCACTGGAGTGATGCGAGAGCCCCAATTTATAACGAACGTCATCCAAATTCTTCGAGAATTTGCGGCAGCATATAATGTTTCAAGAATAAACATGGCGGATGTATAGCCAAGGAAAAATAGTCGAGCCTGCCGCATCGGGCTGTGGACCAACGAAAATAGGCACTGGATGTAGATGGTCAGTACAGTCCCGTAGCAAATACCTGTAAAAAGTGTTAAGCTCAGGAGGGATATGACATCGTGCTGGGGTTCTGACAGTGATTCGGAAGACATTGCCAACCCTCGACTCTGATCGAGAAATTGAGATCTTTAAACACGCTCCTGCCATCAATCAATCGCAGGGAACCGCATGCAGAGCTGGGTCACTAGTACTAAATCAAGCTTTACAAAGGAGCGGACGGACAGAGTGCTGCAGATGCGGAATCTCGAGCGGGTAGACATATCCGCGGAATTCCTTGGGCATTGATCTGATCAGTCAATTGAACAGCCCACCACCGCCTCGGTAAAGAAAAAACGACCAAGAATGCCTCACGAGCTTCTGCATATCAAGGTCTGACTGGTATCGTCGAGGAGTTGTCGAGGAAACTACATCACCGCCGCGGCAGCTGAGCGCTGAGCGCTGATGCATGATGACTCATACGTGCGTCTCCAACCATTTATATTACATAATCTTACCAGTACGATTCTTTTACAATTTTCGCTTTAAACTTGCTTCAAACTTGACAATATGCAAGGGCTATAGCATCTTCATATATATTAATAACTTATTGAGCCGGTTTTGTGTGCTGTTGTAGAGTAATTGAGGAAGTGTTTCAATGAGTGGAGCTGTTTCAGTGACTTGTGATTGACTGAACGTAACAGTAGTATGGCCAGTACTACCAGTGCGCAACTACGATCCGTGACTTTCATCGTTGTGTGCTTAGCGAGGCTACTGCTGGCATGATTCTTCACAAGTGCATGATTATCTGCCTTTCCAGCTCGTTCAGACATGCCAAATAGTAAGTACAGTGATCGTTGTGCTGTGCGCGTAATTAATTCTTTTGTGATTGATTACTAGTAGCAGTCTTGTCTTGGTCTTGCTTTGATCTACCACACTCCCGGTCAGTGCCAGTACTGACCGCGCGTTCGCTTTACTGCGGATCTATATTCTGTCTGATCATCATCTCCTGGCCCAGCCGCTATTTTTTTCCTTCTAAGCTCATACTTCTGAGTCGTGTTCTCCTCCAGCACAAACATGTGGGATGTGCTTATGCTTGTGACACACACTTACCTCTCGCGGCGCGGTACGTTCCTCTCGTTTGGGATGCCTCTCAGTGGTACCGTTTTTCGGAAACTCCTCATTTGATCGTCGGGTGTTACTGTTCGTTTCGCAGGAGCGCTGGTGCAATTCTTGTGCTTCTTCGCGGGGCTAAATGAACAACCCTGAAGTTGCGCCGCCAGTAGAGGGACGGTGGATCGCAATATGCTACTTGTGCGCGGTTTGGTCGCAAATACTGCTAGATTTATTGATTGCCGGCATTGTCCCCAGGTTGTGTTATCTGAATCAAATTCATCTTACAGCGCCCATATTCCCCAAACCGATGAGGCTCTCACATGTCACAGTCTGTGATATCTATATGATTCCGATGATATTAAAGTGACGGAGATTAATTAGATAATTGCAGCGCACCAGCATATTGCAATGATGAGCGAGAAGATAACCTGCGTATCACACAGCGGGGAAACTGACATTTTGCCGCCAGTGGAATTACTTTCTAGAGTGCTCCGGACGCTCTAGGCTAGGTTTCGAATGCTCTAATCAGTTCCAGATTTGCTTTAAATTGAAATCTTGCAAGAAATAAAATGTTGAAACCCCTGATATGTCACCGGAAGGTATAGACGATATGACAACATCAGAACAAGAAGTAAAAGGTCCGGGCCAGGGAAGACCTTCACCATCCATTCAACATTCAGAATCGTTTCATGTTGGGGAAATCATTAATACGTAGCATCAAGCCGCATGTCAATATACGCCCCTGCTGTCACAGGATCGTACTTCTTCGGCCTGTCTTTGTCCCAACAGCCAGGGAGGCAGTCAATCAAAAGATCTCTGTCAGAAGACATAAACTAATCAAGAATCGATATCAAACAAACATCAAATATCTGCAGGAAGCTTACATATGGAATCGAGAAGCGCTCTTTGACCACTCCCAACTTGCCATCATTCGTGGGCGCACGCACGCGGTGCAATGTTGATTTGAGTGTGTCTAATCGAAATAAATCATACAGCCTTGCGGAGAACAACAGCAGCTCAGAAGAATCGTACCGTTTGACCACCGCATCAAGAAGTCCCCTATATTGAAAACAACAGTTCCCGGGATGGGTGACGCAGCAATGAAATTTCCTGAACCGTAAGGGCTCTCAACTTCGAGTCCCCCAACATCATCTTGGAACAAAATCGTGCCCATTGCATAATCCTATCGTTCATTGTTAATTAGTGACACTACCGGTCAAATGATCACATACCGTGTGCGCACCGATTCTGCCTTTCGCACCGCATGCGAATAACTCTGCTGGCGCAGCTGGATAATGCAACAATCGCAGTTGATTCTCTGCTTCTTGGTGATATTTTCCCAAAAATTCGCCGCCGCCAGGGAGCTTAAGCCCTAAAGATAACGCAGGCAACAACTTCTCGATCTGAAAGCGACGGCATGTATCAAAGAAAGTAGATGCTGCGTCTCTGAAGCCAGGAAGAACTTCCTCTGGGAGCCAGACATTGGAGATGCGTGAGCAATTATTACGCCCAATGTCAAATGATTCTTTGAAGTCCGGAGTTTGTTTCCGTATCTCAGCGAGCTGCGTCGGGTCGAACACCTATGCGAGTCAGGATATTGGTAGTTTGAATGATACTGACACGTACCATTTGGGAAATTTGCTCCCTACCAACCTGAATGTCATTTGTTAAGACATGTTACCATGTAGTCTTCGTAAATTAGAACAACACACCCCGCTATATCCTCGGTGTTTCCATCCCTCCTTAGGGTGAGGAGCCAATAGCTTCGTTTCGATTGGAAGCGAGAATAGCTTCCTGCTCTTGATGCACACTCATTGTTTGAGGTGAATTTGGCACATGCGGTGATATGTACACACCCATTCAAATATGCAATCCACCTCTGCCTGAGGGATTCCAGTGTTGCGAAAGTATGCAAAACCGACTTCTCGACACGCTTTGACTAATTGATTTCCTATTTCTGTCGCTTCCTGAGCATCAAAAAAAAGGATCTTCAATGATATATCCCATGTGCATTGTGAGCACCACACGTACCAAGGAAGTACCATCCCCGAAGCATGCAAAGTCGATAATCGGAATTGCAGTGGGTTGGAGTGAGACGGTACCTGACATGATGTGATGACATGGCACTCGAACCAGTTGAGTTACTTATAAATTATTGGCTTAGTCCGTGCATCTCGTCACAGGAAGGTCACATTGGCCGATTTAATAGCCCGCTCGACATTTTGCTAAGTTACGGACGGAGGTTAGCCTTAGACTGGTGAATGATGGAGTGGACAATTGCGATCGTGCATGTGTCAAATAAGTGACACCGCGTATGTACATATACTAGATGACAGTAAGATACCGAGAAAATTAACACCGACAATATCCAAACACCCAGCTCAACTATAATAGATGAATCCAAGCTTCCTGTTCGTTATGCCTCTCCGCCCTCACCCATCTTCCTCCGGACTCCCAGTATCATCTTCCTCGTCCTCTTCATCAGAGTTGTCGTCCACCGGAAGCGTCATCAGGTCATTTAAACTACAGGAAATGACATCAGTCCATTTACTCCAAAAGCTATACTCAGAATGAAGCGTGCGAATGGCGCCTCTGCTTCAGAAATGGTAAGTTACAGCACGCACCAATGAACAAAGGGCTTCATCACATCCGCAACCCCACGTAGTGTATCTATGAAGTCGGATGCAACGACTTGGGCATCTGTGAACCGATAGGAAACAGCGAGGGAGCGGCATTTGAGGAGGGCGATATCTCTAGAAAACGCGTAGCATAGTGTATTAATTAGCCTTCATGACTCAAATGATACTCTACCACGTACTCGTGGTTCTTATCCACGCCCTTTGGTGCCACCTTCAATTCATCTTCATGCCCGAACACACTCTGACGATCTCCATGCGGGTGCGGGCGGGGAGGGCCAAAATGGGTAGTAAATGCTTTAGAAGAAAGTATTGTGTGCAGAGTCTTAGCGGCGGGTGTGGAGCGAAGTAGGTGATTTCTGTTGGATGTGAGAAGGCATGAAAAGAACCACGGAAACAAAGCGGAGACGAGACACACCTGAGAGTCGCGAGTTCGTTCTTAGCAGGACACCATGCACCTGCAGCGATGACGCTCTCGTCACCCGGCTTGACTAATCATCATTCATGTCAGCATATATCGATCTAGTATTTTCAGCTATAACATACTCATTCTGTATGAACAAGAGACGCAAATATATCCAGTTAGCTTGTCCGACTTTGATGCTAAGAGGTGCGTACACGTGGTCTACGAACAGTTAGATATCTGCAAAGAAAGCAAAATGTTATGAAGCTCACAAAACGCAAAAATACCCTTCCTGCCACTCCTCGAAAAACTCGCAGACAGCCCCTTCTTGTATGGTGTTTTATCATTGCTGAAGCGGATCTACGCGCATGACATCAGATCCGCTGATCCACAAAAACAGGTGAGAAAACAAACATCTCTATATATACGGTGGATGACGTCTTTGGGGGGCAACGGGGGGATCTGGGAGTCGACATCTGTGAGCATATCAGTGAACGCCTCGACGAATTCCTTGAATTCCTTTTCTATGCGACGGTAAACTGGTTCTGTTTGCCAAATAAGGTCGGAGCTTCAGCCTAATGCATAAGCTCCACATACCGCGTAGCTTAAACCTAGAGACGCGTGACTGATTTTCAGCCAACGATAAATAAATGAAGACCGTGATAGAAGTACGAACCATTCACGGTCGTTACACGCAGGGTCCTTGAGTTGCACTAGAAAATCAAGCGTGTTCTGCGAAACCTGACCGGGAGGCACTTTAAGGCTGGTAGGTCGATTATCCCTGACGCACTAGGAAATGAGCAGCTTACCCCAGCCTGTCTTTGGAGCTTGCACGACGCGACCTACGACTTGCTGCCCCTCCTTCAGTTTCAAGTCGCTATCGTCTACATCCTCTTCATCTTTGACATCATCTTTCTTGGCTTTGGGCTTCTTACGCTTGGGCTTAGGTTTCGAAGGTGAGCTGGACTTAGAATTGGAAGAATGCGTGCGTTTCTTAGGCGGCAGGTCATCGAGCGCGTCGCTGTGAAGAGATTCGGGCTCGGAATCTTCATCGGATAACTGAGCGCGCTTGCGAGGGACAACTTTGCGTGTAGCTGGCATCGTGGTTTGCTTAAGTGGGATGGAATCATGTGCAATTGCAATAGTGACTGAAACAACCGCGGGCTTTGAACTTTACCTGGGATGTAACCCTTGCAACCAACCTATCCCCATCACGCCCAAAAGAGCTTGCATGCAGCCGAAAGGATGTCAACTGCTCATTAAAAATTGTCATGGCACAGAAAAACGACCGGGACACGCCATGGGACCTTTGAATCATTGAATCAAATATTCGAATCCATCGAGTCCTCGCAAATTCTCGCAAACCGGGTCGCATTTCAGCTGATTTCAGAACGCGGATTTCTCCGATGAGGTCGTGAAGTACGTCGCTGCGAGATTCTGGTTGATTCAAAAACTGAATGCACTTACCATCACCTGAAGGGATAGTCGATCACGGCTCTCGGATACAGATGCCAACGCGCTTAATCCTCATGTCCAACTGAGGCGTCTAGTTGAGACGCGAGGAAGATTGGAAATCAAGTCAGGAAACACCCCCCTCGCCAGCAGATGACAGGTGCTATTGCAGTGGAGAATTGGATGGTAAGTATCATCATGAGGCTTCCGAGCGAGTAAGTCCATACAGGACGTCCGGAGAGCAAAGTAAATACAAGCTCTCCGTAACGTTGAATGATACATAGTAATAAAAAAGTAAACGGCATGATAAGGAATAAGGATACACGACACAGAATCATTCATAACCCAACTCAGCATCAATTCGTGCTCTCCGCAAGTTCCTTCTCTCCTCGTCAGTCATACACGACCACCCTTCAACAGTCTCCGATAATTCCTCCTCAATGCGTTCCTCCATCTCTATTTGCTTCTTGCTCTTCTTCGGCGGGGGCGGTCTCGGTAATGGTGGTGGAGGGGCTCGTCGGTTGGGGTGCAGCGGTGCAATCCGTGAAAGCATCATTCGTGAAGACTTCACCAATGGCGAATAGGAAGGACTGTTCGAGAATGGTGAATTTGGTTGTGAGTTGACACGCCGGATGAGCTCTGACATTGGGGTCGACTTGGATTTGATGGTGAAGGCGCGTGACTTGAGAGTGGCGGCTGGAGTCTGCTTTGGTAGGGTAACTACGCTTTGCGGAGAAATCTTCTGGGTAGAATGTAAGTAAAAATATTAGAAGGTATGGAAATGGGGTACATTGGTTATCTCAGGGACTGCGATGATTTCAGAATCCTTCCCGAGATCTTCGCCTCGAGAATCTTCGTCCTGGGGCAAATGGCTACCTTGTGTAGGTGACCTCGAACGAGGAGGTTCGTCGTCCTCATCTTCACTTTCCGAGAGAACCGCTTTTCTTTTGCCTTTCGGCTGGGGTTTCGATTTCGATTTCACGATGGGGGTGGGTTTCGGTAGTGCATTCTTCGACGTAACTTTTGATTCCTGTTTCTCAACCAAATTGTTGTCCTCGAGAGCGGTATTACATGCAGCTGGCTCATCCGTGGGGAGGTTGTGCGCAAGATTGTCGAGCTCGACTTTGTCAGCCTGCTTCCGACTCTTTTTCTTCCCCTTTGCTCGAGAAGACAACTTCGTGTCCTTTTTCTTACCCTTGCTCGCAGCAGTGATAATGTCTGCGTCCCCGGTTTGTCCTTCGACTGTATGCGAATCATCGATTGGCGGGACGACAGGCGACAATGGCGCAGAGGATAAAGGAGGTGGCATAACAAAAGACGATGAAGCATCGGGGACATCCACATCCATCTCTTTTCCATGAACCTCTGAGTGAAACGGGGATACTGTCTTCCGCCTGCGAGTTATTTCGGGTGAAGAAAGTGGAGAAGACAAGTCGGGTAAAGGAGGTATGAAAGACGGGAGGCGCGATATTGTAGAAGATAGTTGGGTCGGAAGTGCTGGCCCTGCCGGTGAAGGAAAAGCAAAGTCGCTCGGCTGAGTATCACCGGTGCTTTGTTCAGCAACCTTAGGTGAAGAAGGAGATGTCCTAGCTTTAGGCTTGGGTCTCGGCTTGGGTCTCGGCTTTGGCTTGACAGGCTTCTCTTGGGATTTCTGCCGCTTCCGTGGAGGCTTGAGGGATAGTTCGTCGAGGTCGGAATCTGATGTTAACTCTATCACATCATGGCTGACAGGCACGTAAGTCGGCTTCTTGGCCTGAGTCTTCCGAGCGCGCGTCTTGGCTCGGTCGGCAATACTAAATGCAGGATCGACCTCCTCGATGGCTTCTGAGATAGCAGATGGTGTGGTTGGAGGGTGGATGCTATCTGTAGTTAAGATACTGGCTGGGATTGCAGATGCAGAACCGATTAGTGAGGTAGAGGAACGAGATTCATCGTCTCTGACGAAGTCGTCATATATGGTACTCGTGGTTCGAGACTTTCGCGGTACAGGACGTGGGCGCGGTTTAGACTTCGGCACAGGTGTTCCCGTACCACGAGGGAGTAACGGAGAAGCATTTGGTGGATTATAGTCTTGGTACCCTGGAGGTGGCGTAAACAGAGAGGTATCACTTATGTCGAGAGGTTCACGTCCTCGCTGGGGAGTCCGCGCTTGGCTGGTAATAAATGAGGCAGTCTGAATGAGTGACGCTGCAAAACCATGTCCAGTTAGCATGCGGTAAAGCACACAAAGCTTAAAAAATTCCTGACGCTGTAGTATCTTGTCCGGACCTGTAGAAACCGATGTTCCGTTCAAGAGGCCGTTTTTGTCAACAATTTGAAGAGGTCGTGAGGCGTCTTCGTCCTCGCTGTCGGCGACAATCCAGTCGTTCATAATATCGGACATGTTTTACTTGATATATGATTGCAGTTATTATGCTCGGCGCTGTCGATGACGAAGAGTATATGTAAAAGAAGTTAAGAGGCGCAAGGCAAAACACGAGATCAAAGTCATGACACATTGAAAGTACATGCACATGATCGTGTCAGTGTTCTACATACCTCACGTGATCGTGACACTATGCAGGATAAGCATATTACCTACTAGCACACACCCGTTGTGCCTTCGGCACAGGAAACAAAAAGAGCGCTTCACGCTCTTTTTTAGCTTCCTGGCCTTCAGCTTCATCTTACTTTGGGTGACTTAATAATCATTGCAGGTTTTGAGATAAATTATATTTTATTCACTGAGTTGTGATTAGTGATGTGCATGGCCCGGCCGGCACCATATAGGCCAGGCCAAAGTCATGGCCTGACCAGGACTTTGGCCCGGCCCATGATTCCAAAAAGCTGGGAGCCGGTGGCTCAGGCCATGGCTTTGAGAGTATTTCCAATGGCTTTGTGGGAAACATTTATGTAAAAATAGAATGAGCGCAAATTGGTTCCTGATGTCAAGCACAATGGTCACTTCAAGACTCGACTTTGATGTCACCACAATGTCTGTCTAATATATATGTCGCACTAATCATTATTCACTATCTATTGAGTTGCAGGTCTACTCCACGGACATCCCACACGACATTCAAACTCTGGTTTTGATATTTGTCCAACATGTGTGTTCAGCTTGATCTTGACTTAACAATGTTAACATTCTATTGCAGCTCTTCATTCACGCATCAAAAGCTTGTCAAAATCTCAAATATATCAGTATTTTATCCCAGGAACTTAGTCTGTCAGCTAAGAAATGACCTGACAATATTCATACTGATAAGGGCTGATTGGTGAAGTACTCGTCTCAACTCTCGCCCTTGTTGAACTGATCATTTACACCAACTAAATGCCACCCACTATTCTCTCAGATGGCGAGGGGGAAACTTGTGTTGCTATGCGTCCAGTGCGCAAAACTAAGCCTACTGCTGTGCTTCTTCATTCAGTGGACCCTGGCAACTCTTGCCTTCCAGAAGAAGGCTGTCAACAACTTTCGCATTGCTGAGGCTGCACGACGTGCTGAACAGGCAGAGAGTATTGTGCCAATCCCAACACCAACCTCCTCATCTCACCCTTATCAAGAACCAAATTCCGCCACATGTGATACTGCTGTGCCATTAGCGCCATCAACTTCGCATGTCCCCAACAAGATGAAACAAGTGCATGTTGACTCAGAGGAGATTCTTGAAGAAGAAGATGATGATGACAATGATGACATGGAGATGCGGGAAAGTGCGTATACCAATCCAAAGTGTGAGTGCTTCTACCATTGAAGAATTCTATCTACTGAAACTTAAACTGTCAGCAAAAAAGAAATGGATCGAGACCAAGGATGTTGATATAGATGGCATCCCCATCGACATTGATGTCCAATTGATTGTTGATGTGTCTTCGACACATGAAGGTAAAACTGCTGATATTGATCAATTTTTTTGGCCTGCATTCGAGCAGACAGGAACAAACGGTAAGGTTAAGAAGCACCGGAAATGCAAGAGCTGCCCGTAAGATTGCAGTCATCAATTTACTCTCACACTCACCTGTATTTCGTAGGAAAAGCTGTATTCTTGTAAATGAACCTACAACTCTTCGCCGGCATGCAGAGGCAAATTTTGTGGTACGCACTCATTGATCACAGTGAATATAAACTAACGGACACTATCACAATAGGCAAAATATTGAACTTGGGCCAAAACTAACAGATTTCAATCAATGTTACCTGGTGATGTCAAGGATCGCAAGGCCAAGGCTGTGCACACTCAGCAAGCCATCAATGCACATCTAATGGAACAAAAGCTTGCAGAACGTGTAGTCTCATACTCCGACAAACTGTTCAAGACCACAGCTATTGAATGGCTTGTAGCGACAGACCAGGTATGTCACTACAGCTTGATGATAGTACTATCACTAATATTTTGTATAGCCCATACAAGCCCTCGAACATCCGAAATTCAAAGAAATGATTGATGTGGCTGCTCGCACAAATAATGGTGTGAAAATTCCTGGAAGGAAGGCAACACGCGCAGAGATTATGCGTATATTCAAAAATCACTTAACAAAGCTCAAGGCAACTGTAAATGTGCGTCTATTTTATTATTTTCTTTGTTAACAGGTGTTTGAATGGGACTTAGAGTGATGCTGTTTGTGGGGATGTCAACATTACCTGCGATGCATGGCAGGCTGGTAATACAGATGGTTATTTTGCCGTTACTGGTCATTGGATCCAGGAAGACAGTCCATTAACTTGGAAATGCGAAAGTGCGCTCCTTGGATTCACCCAATTGAACAACACCCATAATGGGAAACATCTCGGTGGTGCATTGTTCAAGGTATTGGACCGAGTTGGCATCACTCACAAGGTATACTACAAACTCATATCACAACCCTTCTCCTCTCCGTACTCAATTATTCTGTAGCTTGGCCATGTGACATGCGATAACGCTGCCAATAATGGCACAATGCTTGAAGCATTTGCACAACTTTACCATCAGCGACACAAAAAGAAGTTCCTGTGGCATGAATGTAGGATAAAGTAAGCTGGTGCTTCATTTACAATATATACTTTGTATCTAACAGTATGGCACAGCTGTCTGGCCCATGTTGTCAATCTGGGTACCCAGACTTTAATTGGTACATATAGTAAATTGCCACACTACACTTCACATGATTCCAAGGCCCATGAACCTGACCCTTTGAATGTGGGCAAGTGTGATGAAATTGGACTGGTCTGTGCCATTTGTGTCAAGGTCCATCCGATGTCTTTGATACTGTGCAGTGCAAATTTGCTAATAATTTAACAGGAGCGCTCATCAGCAAAATGGAAGGAGGTATACAAGCATGTCCAAGAGAAGGCCAATATTGTACCCCCAACTCAGCTTCTACTTGACATGAAGGTTCGCTGGTCGTCAACGTACACAATGCTCAATCATGCCAAGAGTAGTAAAGAGCAAGTCAACATTTTTGTGTATGAGATGGGGTTGTAGGATTGAGATCTTACCAAACATGCTAAGATTGACCATCTAAGGCTGACAAGTGCAGAGTGGATTTGTGTTGGCCAATTTGCAGACCTGCTTTCTGTGTGTGATGATGAATTTATACAATTTTTGACTAACATTTATTTTCTTGCAAGTATGTGGACATTGCCCAGCAGGCATTCTCATTGGATGCAGGGACCACACTGCACCTGGTAATCCCTGTACTTGAGACACTCCATAAAGCATGGTTGTCTCATGCAGGTCGGCCTAAGTATACTCAGTTTGCACCTGCACTGAATGCTGCTGCATGCAAGATCAACGAGTACTACGAGAAAACAATGAAGTTGCCTGCATATGTTATGGCTATGGGTTTGTCTGTGTAGTTACTGTATATATTGTGATTGCTAACATGATATTCAAGTACTCGATCCAATGGGAAAAATGGCATACTTCAAGAAAAACTGGCCCGAAGATCTTCAGCAAGATGTCCTTGCATGCGTGGAACAAGTGGTAAGTCACAACACGTCATACATAATACTTTCATCTCTAACAAGTCTAAAAGTACGAAGCTCATTACCTTGAAATGGGTGCAACTGCATCAGCACCAGAAAATGGTGTCAAAATAGGCAAAACAAACAGTCTCAAGAAACTAATTCACCAAACTAAAAGTTCGGATGAAGATGAAGATACTCAATGATAGCGACATCGTCAGCTTGGACTAAACCTTGGCAGGCTGATTTCATGAGATATATGGACATGTTGGAGGCATTGTCTCCACCTGGGATGAGCACCATCCAATGGTGGGGTGTATGTTTTGTTTTTCTACTATTCATTTTCTATCACTCATACATGCTTTTTTTTACAAGATTAACGGTCAGAGATATGGGCCAGTGTGGTCTTCGATTGCACGAGACTATCTCTCTATTATGGCATCATCTGTCTCGAGCGAGTGTGCATTTTCTCAAGGTGGGATAACCATCAGCAACCAATGCAACCAACTCAAAGGGGATATCGTTGAGGCCCTTCAATGTGTTAAATGCGCTATCCATCATGACCTCCTTTTCCATGAACCAGGACCATCATCCCTTGTGGAGGATGAACTTAATGAGCTCGATGTTGAGAAGGGATTAGTTGAGAAGGCTGACAACTCAGACAAAGTTGAAGATGAGGGTTGGGATGGTCTATTGCTTGATGATGAAGGTGACTTAGACTCGGAGTCTGATAGTACGGACATCTTTGAGACATAGCGCTTGTATTCATTATATAGTATCTTGCTATATTTAATATTTTATGTACTTGGGCCATGGCTTGGGCTGGAGCCAGGCCGAAGCCAGCTGTCTTTCATGGCTTTGGCCTGGCCTGAAAATCCTGTGGGCTGGAGCCACCCAAAGCCAGGCCAAAGCTGTGGCTTTCGAGCCAAGCCGGGCCGGAACATCACTAGTTGTGATCAAAATTTCAAAATAAGTTACATACTTTGAGCAATATTTTGACAAAAGTAAAAGTACAATTGAATATATGTATTTTCTCATCTACTGTTGTCCTCCTCCCATCCTGTTGTCCCCTTTCCCCTTCTCCCATTTCTCCATTCTCCTATTCTCCTATTTTCCTCATTCTTCTATTGTCCCTTTCTCCTGTTCAAGTGACCCAAGCAAAAACCATGCAAGCATCCATCCCCTCCCACAACCATCCTCCCTTACTTTATAGATACTTCCCATATTAAGGTGGGGCGCTTACAAAAATGACCAACATCATGTGACAAAGTATACAAACTGTGACAAAACTACAGAAAGGACAAAGGCTCAAGAGATTCATGTAGATAGAAAAACTGATGCCTGTGGATCATTAAGAGGGCTGTTTAGTGCAGTTCATAGGAGTTATAATTGTGATAAAGTAGATGTGGATGGAAGCTTTTGATGTTATACAGTTATACATGTGTAATTGTCAGAAA